GATGTATAATTTAGTTATTGATGATATTATTTAGTTTAATTTAAGCATAGGTTTAGCAAAACGTTTAAAAGTTTAACTTAATTTACCTAAATAGGCCTATACATACAAAAAACAATGTGATGTGCAAGTTATGTTTAATTTAATCTAACACATGTTAAGCAGTTAGAATTCATTTAAAGTAGCCTCCAAATTCATATAGAACATCTATACATTGTAATTTTCATACTGTTTCCATGAAAACATATCAATAACATTATTTTCATAACTTAGACGCTTAAAAAAAATCCAAAGCAGAGCCGAAGTTGATACAGCAACAGTTATAGAATCTTTTTAAAACGTTTTTATTAGGTCGCTTTCTTGTCCGCTACAAATTTTGCAACCGGTTTTAGACTAACTTCCCGATGAGCTAGGGACTTGAAACTTGAAACATATCTCACAAATGGAAGACAATGCAATATTATACAATTTAATTTTCATATTTCCCTTGGGCTACGCCCCATGGGCTTGTTTTTATTAAATCGATTTCTTGCAAATTTTGATACTTCCCGATGAGCTAGAGACTTGAAATTTGAAACATAGCTCACAAATGGATGACATTGCAATATTATATCATTTAATTTTCATATTTCCTTTCGGGCTACGCCCCATGGGCTTGTTTTTATTAGCTCGCTTTCCTACAAATTTTGATATCAATTTTAAACGATGTTCCCGATAAGCTAGAGACTTGAAATTTGAAACATAGCTCACAAATGCATGACAATGCAATATTATATCATTTAATTTTCATATTTCCCTTGGGCTACGCCCCATGGGCTTCCAAATTTTTCATGTTTACATTTTGAAAGAATGTAAATAAATATATCAATTAATTTAAGTCAGCTGTAAATACTTAAATTTGACAGTTCAAAGAGCAGAGGTTAAGAGGTACAGGTTATGCTACCAAGAGATTCTTTATACAAACATTTCAAAATATAGATAAACAATCTGATTGCAGATATAAAAAAGTTCGTTAATAATGTAAATTGTTATTTATTTAATGTTCTATAAAGTAAACAATAAATTAAATAGATTGATATATTTATAGTTAGTAGGTAGGCCATACATTCAATCTAATACATAATTATATGAAAAGAAACTCACATAAACCTTAGATTTCCCACATGCCTTTGTCTTAATCTGATATAGATGCTTGAAATAGATTTAACATCTTCACGCATTAAAAAACTAAAAAATAGAAAATAATTTATAAATAAAAAACTTTTTTAAACAAAACGTTTTTAAACGCCCTAAAAAGTAGAAAATAATTTACAAATAATTTATAAATATGTTGAGAGAGTATAAATACTTGTACGATTTAAGACGAAAAACGTGGGGTGCATGCAATAGATAGTTTACAATTACCTTCACCTACTCAACTAATGTATTATTATCAATTAATTGCATGCACCCAACGTTTTTCGTTTTAAATCGTACAAGTATTTATACTCTCTCAACATATTTATAAATTATTTGAAAAATTATTTTCTACTTTTTAGGGCGTTTAAAAACGTTTTGTTTAAAAAAGTTTTTTATTTATAAATTATTTTCTATAAACATTGACATACTTTTAGAATAAATAATCCATGATAAAAGTTTAGATTAAAATAAACCTACCTCATAGTTATGGAAAATATTATATTTAATTTTTCTTTGTATCAGCTGTCTGAAATTGTGAAATACGCAGTTTAGCAGTTCTTCTTGTTTACATTTAAATGTCAAAGCAAATGTAAACAAACATTGTTAGTGTTCTCATCGCAGCCATAGAGACCAATCAATATTTACTTTTAAAATCTTCACCTCAGAAGTTTTAAAGCCAAAGGGGCAAAGCCTACGGCCAGTATCGAAATGTGAATAGTCGTATAATGGTCCTTGGTATGGTAGCTATATTTTTGTAAAATTTAAGCCCAGTTGGTTAACTAGTTTTTGCACCTATTAGTAACAAACATACAGACAGACACCATTAGATTTTTATATCATAGGGCCTAGTATAGATTAAATAGTACCTATTATTCAATCCTAAAAGAACAGGTAACGGGTTTTTGGCATTTTAAACTAATCAATCAAATAAATTATTGTACCTAGAAAAAACAATTTACAAAAACTATATAGTATTATCTATAATTAAACAATTAGCTTACAAATGTTAGCTAAAATATAAAATTTTTATTAAGTTTTTAATAAATATAAAATTTTATTGTTAAAATATTCGTCTAAATCGTCTAAACCATGATTTCAACCGCAGATATTAAACGTCTATAGCAAATTTAATTTGATGCACATTTTACTTGTGATGTTAAATAGGTAACACATGAAACTGTATACATAAAACAAATCGTCCAGTTCGTACTTAGTAGAGTTTAAACCCCAAGATTATTTTATAGAAGTTGTCATTATGTATTCACAAATTAATAGTTTTATGCTTTTCCCCAGAAAATCTACCCAAGATGGAAATACGCTAGGTCTGCAGATTTGCTGCGGAGGGCGTATTTTATGTTGTGATGATTTTTAATTATAATCCTATTTCCGAACAGTGATAAGGATGAGGAGAATGTGTTTGCAATTATTTTTAAGTGATAAAACAAATGTCTTGGTTAGTGAGTGTTTCTCTGATACATTTGTTCTCTTATCAGTTACTAACAGTTACCCATTACGCGTTGCTGCGCTAACAACTATTATTTTATATGGTAATTTGTTATTTAGTATAAATAATAAAAATGTATACCAAAAACAAAATATAATATTTATTTTATTTAATTGACAGTGGATAAACAATGTGTTTTGTTTTTTTTTCATTAGGTGTATAAATATATAATTTTTAGGTGTACCTACCTCCACGTAGGCACGCAACATACAGCTGTGCGTGTGAAAAGCGTGCATTTTCTAATTTTAAACCGGCGATAGTCAGGGATTACCCTTGTGCCTTATAATTGTGATTGCAAAAGCAAGACGGATAAAAATTGTAGTTGCTTGAATTCAAAGGGTAATTCGGATGAAATCATCAGTATTCTTGGGATTAAGACTATTTCTCCTTTAAACTTACCACTGGTAATTGTTGCTTCGATCAAGTTGGTGTCATTTTTTTATCGTCAGTCTGGTTCCGTTGCACAGCTTGGGTGGATTTAAGTTTCGCATTAATAATATTGGAGTTCCTTCTTTTAATGAATACCTGAGGTAGCAGGCACTCTTATAATTCTTCTTATCTATGTTTCACTTAAACATTTATGTTAGATTGTGTGGGTATAGAACAAAAGATAAAAATATTAAGGCATTGTCACCATGATTGTCACCTCTTTTATTGTTTATAATACTTTGATAAAGGGGTCTTTATCTATACTATTATAAAAAAGAGGTGGTTGCTGTATGTGTGTATGTGTGTATGGGAAAAGTAAACTCGAAAAATACTGGTTGGATTGGGCTGAAATTTGGCATGATGATAGCTCACATTCCCGATTAACATATAGGCATATTCTTATTTCAAAAATCCTTTCGGGCTCCGCCCCAGTGGCTCTGGAGTTTCCCATGTTAACCTTATGAGAAATGGAATTATTGAATCTTAACAGCTGTTTCAATTAAACAAGTTGGTTCTGTTCTATGATGTTCAATAGCATTAAAGTTACAAGGATTACCAACAGGGTGCAGCACTATTATTTCTTTTACATTTATGACAACAGCTAATTTGCAACCAAAAGGTGAGTGAGTGTAGCGAACGAACTTCAACCTGGAGGCGAGTTAGCGTAGCGAACGAGCTAACCTGAAGGCAAGTGAGCGCAGCGAACGAGCTCCAACCTAAAGGTGAGTGAGCGTAGCGAACGAGCTCCAACCTAAAGGTGAGTGAGCGTAGCGAACAAACTTCAACCAGGACGTGATTGAGCCATGCGAACGAGATAATCTTGAAAATTAAGAAGTTAAACGGGGCAAAGCCCGCGGGTTACAGCTAGTGTTTACATATTTAATGGTGGAGAATTTAAAAGTGGTTGAGTGCACAGGTGTGCTGCGATTGGGGTGTAATATATTTGGAATCATCCAAAAGTAAAATAGCTTTCTGTGCTGCATTCTGGGGAAACAGTGTGGCACTATTTCAAATTTCATGACTAATACAGAATGTTGTGATTATTCAAACCTACAAAACAGGTGGTAAAAGTACACTTTAATTATATTTATTTGTAAACATTGCAGTTCCAAAAGTCTGACATTGGAAACCCCTGAACCCCTGGGGTGGAGCCTTTTTGACGGATCTTCACACAAACCATCCTTGAATAATGCTTAATAGTGCCTAAAAGTTTCATTAAAATATGTCGAGTGGTTTCGGTGTCCATAAGATACATACTTCTTATTTTATAGATATAGATTGTAAACTAAACTTGTGTCGGACACAGCTAAACATCTTTTTAAAAACTATTGAAAGTAAATATTGAAAGTATTGCTTGGTGCAGCAGTTTTTAGACTCTAGCTAGAGTAGTCTGTTGTAAAATGAGGGGCAATATGTGAGAATTCTTTTCTTCCCACTTCTAACGTGATCGACATTTTTTTAATTTTTTTTAAATGAGGAACAAAAAGGCTAAGCTAATCAGGTTGCGCCTCATTCTGTTTTATTTTACAACTAAGTATTGTGATATTATGGCTATTTTTATTCAATATTTTTGAACTTGGTATAGTTTGATAGGAAATTTATGGAATTTCTAAGATTTGATAGATGGAAAATCTACGTGCTACGATCCATCCAACGACACCTTGAACTTGGTGATCGGATGAATAGCAGCTTCAAAACAATTTTCACAAAATTCGTGTTCGCCTATTAAATTTATAGATGCTTAATAGAAACTGTAGGGAAAATATAAGGTGTAACGCGACACCCAATAGTTACACAAATAACTATTGGAGCGAGGAAAGTGAAAATGAGCAAACCTGGTTACATCAAAGTTTGTTTCCAAAGTTAATTCGTGTTAATAATCACACAGTCATAAAACGATATGAAATATATATTTTACTATAATAATTTAATAAATAATTTCTTGTACAAGCATCTTGAGTCTTCAGTCCCAATGGTGACTTCTGAAGAGTAGAAGAAGAAATCAACCGGTGAACGAACTTGGGTAGAGAGTCTGAAAAAAAGTTTTATGTTATTGTGATAAGACCTGTGCTCTTAATTCCAACTCAAATACATCTTAATTGGTTTGGTAGTTGTTGAATGATTGCATGTAGATGGATATACATGTATCGTAAATATAATAGAATAGATTAATAACAATTTTGATGATTCGATGTTTATAGTAGACGGTTGTTTAGTCTATGTAGTTTGATCGAAGCTATAATATAGTAGTATACAATAGTAGAACAGATTTAAAATCTTGACAAGTTTTTGATAGATTAACATTAGTATGGTGTGTGTTGTGGTTAAAAAACATAAATTATCTTTATGGATGGTCAAAACAGGCGTACGGTGTATATAAAAAAAAACTTTAAATACGTCATTGATAAAATATTTAAATAAACTGAACTACTCAACACTCGATTGTGATTGAAGGAATATTCTTACACATCAAACTTGTATATGATTTGATTTCCAGCATTGACACACACATTGAGAATACGTATTTTATTTACTAAGAAAAATATTTGACTTTCGCATTAGGAGCTTATTCTTGACAAGGATGTTAAAATTTTAAAATTTGTCAACTGTAAAACTATTATTGTATAGACCTTGTTTTCAAAGAAAATCCCCTATGGACATATATTTAACAACGATTTGAAAGAAATATATCTTTGAAAACAAGGAGGCCATACCTGGATAGCCTTGATATCGTCAGGGTGAAGACTGAAGTTCGGGTCGTAGCCTTGGAGAGTAGGGTACATCAGGGCACGTTTAACCTTGGAATGATCAAGTCCCAGGGCATGTCCGAACTCATGTGTCGCCACTTGCAAAAGGTTTGTTCCTGGAGGAAAAATGTTTCAAAAGTTTAAAAATAAATCTGGCTTATATTGTAGGCCCCTAAACGTATAATGTGTTAAAATGGTCGTGTTTCGTTTAAAGTTAAAAAATACTGCAAAACCATATGATCCTTCGAAGTTTAATTTAAAAAATCGGCATATTAAACAAAAAAATAATTGGCTACAAAATTATCTGCTTACAATTGACTTTTTGGTTAAAGAATCGCAGAACAAATCATCCTGTAATCAAATAAACCCTCGATCAAAATAGAATGCAGTTATGCCACGTATGCTATAACAGACCCGGTATGGATCATAAACAAATGATGATACTGACCCGAAAGTAAGTATACATCACGCTTGGGATAGGGAAGTTTAACATGGCGGGTTAAGTAAATGATTTAACATTGCTTAAACGGAACTGTTTTACATTTCAATCCTATTAGTATAGGTTACGAGCCAGCAACTTCATTCGTTTATGTTTATAATCCATACCGGTTATGTTAATGTTATGTTACCATACCTGAGTGAGAGTTAATGGTCCATTGCTCCGTGTCGTCGAAATGAGCGTCTCCCCCGATGGTGTGAGATGTAGGGTAGTAAGCGTGGGCGAGAACGCCTTCCGGACCATCAAATGGATTATCATCTCCATGAGATCCTACATCAAACCTACAAAAGATAAAATAATTGTTATTTTATACCAGGTAAGTCTGAGTATCTGGAGAAGACTCTTCGTAACTGAAAAAATGGCAATCAGAGGTTCCTCTCTTGACTAATAGCAATTCAGCTCGAAAACAAATGTTAACAATAGAGGAACGCTTTATTCTGTTTTGGGTTGTCACCTCCATTAAACAAAAATGGCAAAATGGGTTTATAGAATGGTGACCTTGATTTCGAGAACAAAATTTGAACGTACAATTCAATAAGAGATTGGTTCAACAAGTTTTAAAAATAAGTTTCAATAGGTGAAATACGTTTCTCAAATACGGTTCATTTTGAGTACTGATTATGTCCGTTTGTGACTTTCTATATGATTCTCAAACAACTTAATATTTGCCTCAAAAATCGATATCACAGAAAACTGAAGTGTAAATCAAGGTCAAGATGCTTGAAAATCTACAAATACACAGATGGATACCTGACATAATCCGTTTGTTCAAGTAATTGTGACATATGCTAAAACGTTAAAAAAAGACACATATTAAGATAAACGACCGATTTTGAAAAAAATCCACAAAAAGATTTTTTGTTAACAAATTAACATACGATCTAAAATCAATAAGTTCTATGTTTCGAAGTTTCTATGTTCGTCGATCTTGTAGAACTAGGTTCCATAGTGGGCAGAAGTGTTTCACAATTAAAATGCAAGTTTTATAACTTTACTGACAGAGTATCAGCTGAGTCGAGATCAGAAGATTGCTAAAGTAAGAGGAAAATGAGCATCATATTATGGAAATTTCGCTCTGACTAACACCCAGACAAGTAAGTTTTGAACATTGTTTCCTGCCCTTGGAATGTATGAGGGAAAACCTCGTAATTATGACTGTAAGTCACATAATTGACTTTGGATACTCCAGTATACATCACATCTCAGTGAAATGAGCGACCTATAGGTTTGAATTTGAGAAAACATTGTTCAATGAGGGGTTTAATTTGTTTGAAGTCTTGATAGCCGACGCTGTACATACAGAATCTATTCTGTTAAGAATTTAGTTTAGTTTCCATACTGAGTCTTCTTGGGGTCACCGAATGTCCTATGGCTAATGAGCCAACTTTCATTTTGGCTTGGTTAAAATGGGCGAGAAATCAAGAGATATAGGAAAGGTGACGAAAACGGTAATTTTCTTAAGAACTTCAACCCCCTTGCGTTTAAATTTATTCTAGACTTAACTTTCAAAGATCCAGTGTTGCTGACCAACTTTCTTTATAACGGTTTAAATATGCATTGTAATCCAGCAGCTGATCCTTAAGTTAAAATACAGTCAGATTGTAAATAAGACACAGGGCACAGACAAACCAGTTTTTGAAAATGAAGTTTAAATAGGTTACCCTTTTGATAGTTGCAACCTAATTGAGGTAGGTGGACAACAAATCTTCCGATTTTATGTTGTAGAGCTAGATCTTTGAAAAGTAAAAGAGTATTGGATTTATATTTTACCTTGAAATCAGGTTTAGAATCATAATGTTCAATTTCAATCATGGCCCTTGTTTAACTAATTTTTGCTATATTTAACAAACTGGCTACTTAAAACGTTAGTAAAATTACTAGTCCAATGTAAGGTATCAAAAGTCCAAGTTACCACTTAGACCAAATCCACTAACATAATTTGAGAATTAATAGGATGTGATCTAAACTAAGTTCAGTAGCTATAGCTTCATTTAAATTTTTTCTTTGTAATACCATTATATACTAATTTTAAATACCCCCGCCGCAGCAAACCTGCAGACTAGGCGAATTTCCATTTGCCTGATCAGAGAGAAAAGAATTTATTTATAAAAATAAATACCTCTGCCTTAAAATTAAGGTTGCCAATGACACAGAAAAATTTTACACATAAAATATCAGTAAAATATCACTTTAAAAACATCACATTCATTCCTTATTTATTTAAATATAATTACTTTAACGAGTACTCAGGTTTGCTGCAACAGGAAGGATAGAAGTGTTTTTTACGTTTAAATGTTAATAGTTTAGTAAGAAATAAATGCGTTTTCCAAATTTGTTCAAAATATGTTCATAAACAAGCAAACTACAACAGTTTACTTATTCCCCATAAAAATAACATGGAAACTGTAAATTTAATTTTTTTTGGATTCTCTCCGTAACCATTAGGCACATAACCACTCTTTATTATACTAAGTTACCTATTTGTTTTTTTAAGCTCTACAAAATTGTTTGGAAATAAATTGCTAAATTTTATGTTTTATGGGGGAAAAAGAAAAACCAATTTTTACCTCATAAAAACCCACATAAACCTCCATTTCCATAGTCCGATCATGATGGTTCGCGAACTCGTTCGGATAAATGTAGGTTTACACGTTTATACCAAATTTCATCAAAATCGGATCATTTTTCCTCGAGTTATAAAATTAAAAATGGTCTAGTATTTTTCCCTCAAGAAAACCCCCTCTCTGTTAGGGGTACCATTCATAGTGTAGCTTAGCCACAGCTAAGGCGGGGTAGCCGCAGTGTAGCTATAATAACAGCTTAGTCAAACGGTATCACCTGATCTCAAAGTGAACTTTTCCAGAGTCTTTTCGCACAAACGTGAGTGGCGTCACAGCGGACCAGATGTCTAAAGCCTTCCTTATGGTTCTGTCAGTCTCGTCCCTTGGAAAGTTTCTAGGATATTTAGTGATTTTGTAGCTCAGTGTCTTCTTACTCCATCTGGTACCTAAACAGCAACATAAGTGTAGGGTGTGGTACAGATTAAAATCGAACATAAAGTCAAAAAAATTACGCTACAAGCTATAATGATGGGAAGTAAATGTTTACTGTACGCGCATAATAGTATCCATACGACGTTTGTTGAGCGCGTGATTTCATGCTAGTTCCGTTAACACATTACCGGATGAGTTGCATATGATGTTTAACGTTTCTAAAACTTTCAAACATTATTTATTAAGTGCAATGTACCTGGCCAAACCTGTCAAACATTGTATAGCTTCTAGAAACTAATAAAAAAACTCATACATGCCTTTTTAAAACGTTGTGAGTTATTGGTAAATTTACCAGGCTCTAACTGACTTTACCGGTCCCTTTCTGTAAGCAACTGCTATCTGGGTGCAACGATCAAATTACTAATACAATCCAATTATTCAAAATGAAAAAAAGAAAACATTGTAAACCGTAGAAAATGGTTTTAAAATAGTAATAAAGGTAGTGCAATGTATAACATGATAGTACATAATATTACAATCCATTACATGGTAGTATAGTACATAATACAACCTATTACATGGTAGTATAGTACATAATAAAATTTATTACATGGTAGTATAGTACATAATACAATCTATTTCATGACAGTACAGTACATAATATTACAATGTAAGAGCGCGGAGCAATAAAACATCTATGATTTTCAAATAATTTTAAACAACATTGAATTGGGGTTTGTATGTTGATGTTCTTTATCCTTCGGTTGGAAATGGATACGTACTTATTGAGTTTTAACAGACTAATTCATATTTTAAAAATTCGTTAATTCTATTTCGCACATGATTTACAGTTTAACACTTCGAATCCCATAAGTTCTAGTAATGTATAGTAATGTGTTAGTGATATTTCAAACGAAAATAGATCCAAGCATGATTTCTAATCTTAACCTTGTTTATTAAAGATAAATTCTTGTGTGCTGACAATCTGTTTAAACGTGGGTCTGTTTGGGTACAAGGTCAATTTCTGTTGTTCATTTGAGTTTAACTTTCCTCTGATCGTATTTTGATTATCTGTTTCCAATTAAATTGCTGATTTGAATCCAAATCAAAGCATCTTTCTTTACATTAATTAACATAGCGAAAATTAAATTTGGATTTAAAAACTGGACTATTAAAAGTAGTAAGGCACCAGTGGTTTGGTTAGTTTATTACCACACAAATGTTTGATGGTTTGTTCCAAGCGGTAAGTAGGCATATAAACACAAAACAATGTGTTACCTCATCAAAACGGTACAAGGAACAGACGTGGCATAGGAATTTCCTTAACACCCGAGAGTACCATTTTTGTCCGGTTAGTCTAGTTAGGATAGTAAACTCAACGTAGCACATCCGACCTCAATCCGTACCATAACTGGTTTTGAAATTGCACGAAGAAATCTAGTTTGCGCTGTCAATTTTCTTTTCTTTTGTTTGTTTCAACGCCATTTTTGACTTTTATTGTAAGGGAACGGTCCAAAGCCTTCTCAAACTTACCCTGATCCGATGACCGGGAAGGTAGCTTACCACTATGAACCTGCCAACGGAAGTTCCAGGGACAATTATTGACAAGAAAATGCTGCTAGAGCCGTAAAAGAGGTGGTCAAGAGTAAAGGAAATTTCAATAACATCCAACACTCTTTTGACCGATTGAAATTTCTTCACGCTATTCGCTAAAATTTATAAGGAAGATACGCCCTTGAATTGGCCCGAACTATTCAGATGAGATTTTAATATCGTGTAGCTACAAAATTAAAAAATACTAAAATAGAGTAATAGCAATGAATACTAAAATAATAATAGTTTTAAAAGGCAAAGGCTACCTCCAAGTTTGAAAGTGTTGACGTTCCCACCACCTGGGGGTGCCTTGTCCCTGATGCCACATCTAGGCTTGATCATCTGCTGCTTAGTTTCATCAGTCAGAGAACCTGCAAGTATTCATCCAACCATGTTAGTCCACAACTGATAAATAAAAAAATAACATTACAGCTCTATAGTATGGTAAAGGCTACTTTTACTTTACTTGGTGTTAACATATAGTTTATGCAACGATCGCGTAAAGATAGTGCTAACGACACGAGTCAAAAATTTAAGGTACGAGCCTTGGTGAGTGCCTTAAAAACTCCTACGAGTGTTGTTAACACTAACGCGAGTTGCGTAGGCCTACACTACTTTACCTACGACAGTGTTTTAATTACTAACAATCATTATACAAAACTTCTAAGAGAGGTTAAGTTTTCGTTTTTGGTTATAATTAGAGGTTTCTCATTACCACTGACATTGAACGAATCATTGTAACAAACACTAATTTCAACATTCATTGACAATTAAATTGGTCTAAACAGCTGATTAGTTGCCGTTCGAAACATTACAATTGTACTCTTTCTCAATCCTTAAACCTCATTGGTCCATTACCCGTGTTGTTAGTAAATTAACAATGCTTTTAAGTAAATCGTTTTAATTCTAAGAACTGAACTGAAATGACCACTTTGAGATAACGGTCGTAGGTTAAACCTGTAAAACGTTAAAGGAAATAGTCAAACAATATTAAGATGATCCTGTTATGTTAAAGATAATTGGTTCATTTTTAAAACTATTGGAACCATTTGACGTTAAAACTATGTTAATCGATTCTGAGTGATTTTAGATAAGAAAAGAAATAAACTAGTTGTAAAACAACACGCTTTTAAGCTTTTTAAGATATTATTAAAATCATCCACTATGAGTGTCGAGATTGAATTAGAAAACACCTTACAAACACTACACAATTTAACTAGAATCACATTACGTTAGAATTAGTTGATATTAAGTTTGGATCTTTGGATCTACCGCAGTGTATAGAACCATAGAAAAGCGACACTATTATGGATGGCTTGAATAAATTATATTGTTTCGTATATAAGTGTATCTAATACATGTGTCTATGCTTGATCCATGTTAGATTTTCCATGTTTTCCTTAAGGCGAGTAAAACCTCGATGATGCAGCACTAACATAGATTAAAAAGCAACGTATCTGCAAATTGTTTCAATTTTTCAATTTCTCAACCTTATTTTAGAGTTTTTACATAGGTTGGTAACTGATATTATCTATAATATTAAAACGAAACAGTGTTTTTTTATTTCACGATTCTGAATCAACCACTCGACGAATTTTCATGATTTTTGTGTTGAAAGAAAGATAATTTTGAGAGCTAGGGAATGTCGAAGCCATAATTTTAGTTTAGGGTCCCAGTTTTTTTGAAATTAAGTTTTAATTTTTAAAAAGTCTAGCAGCCGACGCTAAGATTCTAAACTACCTTTTGGCATAAAATAATTTGCTTAACATAACAGCTGTAAACATTCAGCTTTTGTGTCACAAATTCAGCATTTGGATAAAAATGTAAAGACTTAGGGTTGACTTATTTATACTATGTGTAATGCTAATCATTGATACGTTCAATTCTTCTGTAAGAGGATGACAGATTAATTAAATATACATAGTAAAATACTAGGATGTTAAAATGATTTTTAAAGCAATCTTTGTATTCTTCGATTTGTTTTAGAGCAATATAATTTGTTTTAACTAACAGCTGGTTAAATATAAACTATGGAACTACGACGTTATTTTATCTACTCTTATTTTGTCATTGATTATGGGAAATAAGTAAGATTAGTAGAGATGATTAGACCACAGTTTAAAATAGTTTAGACCAAAATTAATTAAACCACAGTACAAATCGAGGCTCTGTACACGAATCTTAATAAAAAAGGATAAATGCAAATTATTTTACTGCTCCACTTTTCAAGGAAAGATTAGAAAAATAAGAATGTTTACATGTTTTAATTCTTCATGGTAGCTTTTTGTTTACAATTAGCTTTGTCTGCTTTAACTTTGTTTGGATTAGGCCCGGAAATATTGATGTCATAAAAAGATCAAGAATAATCAGGAATCACGATTTTAAATTACCACCACAACCTCAGCCGGGTTTTATACAAAGATAAAAATGTGGATGCCATAGATTGAACACAACGTCAACATTGACCTAGGATACTGCAATTAGACAAACCATCCTTTTATGAAATCGTGTTCAGTTGTGGTTACGTTTGGGGTTGCCCATATCAGCGCCCCCAAATGTGAAAATATCACTTTTATTTCAACTATGAATATATTGTAGTTTAAATTAAATAATATGGGAAATTACGATGTACATTAATCAATGAGGGTGGGTAATTATCAAGGATAGAACTGATAACGGTATGGATAGTTAACATTGACAATTACGTCATTAGCTTTACTAGCGTGTTTACTTTTTATATTCCTGCTACTCAGTTCTTTTTTTTCAAATGAATGTTATTTGAACCAAACAGCTGTTTCAAAACAAACTGTTATTGTTTTTACTTTTCTTTGTTTACACTTATTTATTTAGCAATTAATGCAGTGAAATTGATATAAAGGATAGGTGTGACGATTAGTTTTGATGTTAGGACACCAAAGTTAATTTATGTGTACTGTGAATTTTATTGGATATTATCGTTTTATTTTGGGTCGTTTCTTTTCAGACCTACTGGAAATTGTGTATAGTAGTTGTATTGTGGTGATAATAATTATGGAAGAGGCAGGTATGCTATGGAAGGTGGTATCGTTGACTAGGTCTATACACTTCTCAATTAATTGACTATTACCCTATTACTCTCTCTACTGTAGGCTACTTATAATCAGTGTGCGTCTGTGCGAATCGGCTTCAACGCTTTTCACATCATAAAAATTGCAGAATTGCTGTTTTATTGTAAAATTATCGGATATAAAATGCATATCGTATAGGCCTATGATGGAATAAAAACATATTTGGTCACACAACATTTGTTTACAAGATGATTTGTCACATTAAAACTGTAAGAAACTTTGTCTTTATATGTGTAAACTAGCTGATCTGAATTGTACACGGTTTTAACTGACTACTGAATTCCCGTACGTAGGACGGGCTAACAGCTCGTAATTTTTATATGTATATGTATTTACCTTTAAAACAAAGTGATAGCCGTTTTGAAAACGACGATGCAAACAAGACGAAGGTAGGATATTTCAAACTGTTTTAGCATTCAGTTTTTTATGTAAATGGTAAGTGACCTCAAGCTAACTCCTAGCATTTTAGTATTTAGATTTATTCATTTTATACGGCTGAATTGCTACATTTTTGTCTGCCAGTTACTTACCGGTTACTTGCAGCCCCATGTACTGTTGGTAGTCACTAAGAGCGCTGGAGAGAGCTTCATTAGATATAATGCTGTTTGGTTTGTTTGGATCGATTGGTGGAAGGTATCCAAATTGCGCCAGGTGTTTCTAAATTTAAAACATAACTTGTGGCAAAGTCAAAAACCATAAATTTTATCAATTATCAACTGAGGCGGGTATGCCACCTCAATTTTACGCACGGACAAGTGCGTATTTTAACCATAGAGATGAATGGATTATAACTGGAGTCACTCTCTGGTTTAACATTTAACGATTAGCGAGCCTTCAAGATGGCCACTTGTTGATGTGTTTTGTTGTTCACACTGTCTCGGTTTGGTTGAACTTTGGACTTGTCAAATTAGAGTAGTCTCCCTGTGTTTGTTAGTCAACATTGTGCTTGCGATGGTTCTATACTGTATGAAATGTTTATCAGGTTTTGTGATGAAAACAAAAATTAATAATACACGCATAATTTAACTTGCACCATTCTTGTACACCCGTTGGTCGTTCTTAAATGAATCCCATGTGTAGGCCTGCACCAATATCTCCAAACCAGGAAACATAACTATTTTCATCATAAATAATTAAGAACTTGACAAGAGGAAAATAAGTTAGTATTCAGTGTTAACATTTGTTACAAAATTACTTTAACGAGCGGAATTGGTTTAACGTTGTTTTAACGTGCAATAATCAATTGTTGATAAAAGTCCATCGAATAACCCCAACTAACATGTTTGGAAAGATTGGAATGGAATGAACTTGACAGCTATCCAATGGTCATTATAACAACACGATAGCGAAAACAGGTGCAGAATCCTTTTATAATTAAAATAAGCTCAAAAATAAGCACAAAAAATTAGTTTGAAATTTAAAAAAATAACATAGGCCTTATGGATTGTCATGATGGGGACGAATAACAAAGAAATATAAACAGAAAATCAAAACAAATTAAAGAAATTCCAATCACATGTTTTATTTACAGCGTGGGGTAAAAATAGAGAAGTCTGTACATTTTTGGTCGAGTTTTTGACCGTTGGACGTCCTCTAGTTCTTTTTAAACACAAAGTGGTGACTCTAGGCGGAATAATCCATTCATCTCTATGATGTTAAGCGAAATTTGCGTAAGGGAAGGTTGTAGAATGGGGTGAAATCATCTGTGTAGCTTTGTTACTGACTAAGATCAGCTGTTTCATTACCTAGGATCATTTATCTAAAGGCCATATAAAATATATTACTGATTACTGAGTTTCATTTGGTTTTCTATAAACTTATAACCACTAATTATCCCAACTTTAGCACAAAAATAATGTGCAAACACAATGCTGAAAATTATTTGAAACATAATAATTGAAAACTGTTGTATTGTTCTATTGTTAACACGTACCGTCACATCCAAAGGGGCGGCATCTCCAGTAGAAATCAGCGCAAGTGTTGTGAAGATGAACGTTTTACACACAAACATGGTTAATAAGGGAGAGGATACAGTAGTGATGGCAGAACAAACACTATTAGCTGAAGACGATGCCACTGCTGCTCTATATAGGCAGGGGTATCGCCATCATACGACAGCGCTGACCCCGGAAAGCCGGCTTGTATTTCTGTCAGCAACAAACTGGTTTTGTATCACAATTTACGACTGTATCCTTTGGATTCAAGCCACAGCTTTCCCGTACAAAAATGCATTCAGTTTTAGCAAATTTCCCTATGAAGAAGTAGCTATTACCGTGGGTGGCACGGTAGGGCCTTGACCCGGGGCTGATTCACTTGTTCACTATAATATGTAGTACCTAGGGACCGAGCTTTGCTCGGGGTAGATCAATATTGTACTCCGAGAGTAATCTTTGTTCAATGTCATTTCACCAAATATTCTTTTGCAGTGTATTGTAATCTGTAAAATTGTTGTTGTTGTTAGACTTTGTTTATCTAAGCAACAGTTATGACTCTTATCTACTGTATACGATTTCATGTTATTTTTATAACTAGCACACCCTATAATCGAAACACAATAAATATATAATAATATACCACATTTGATACGGAAAAAATATTTAACAGGCCATATTAATTATTATCATTTATCGATTGAGATGGGGACGCCATAAGTGCGTATTTTAACCCAAATACAGGGTGAGGCAGTGGAACGGCACAATTTAAAAAAATCATGAATAATTTATTCAGAAGAAAAAGATAGTTGTTTTAACATAAATCCTAAGTACATGGGTGGAAATTAATGTTTCACCTTAAAAATAAAAATAGGTATTGTTTAATACAGTGTCAGTAAAATGGCGTATTAGGTTTTGCACACATTTTTTAATTATGAATTGAAATGACCCCATGACGGTTTTTAGCGTTTCCATAAAGTCTGCAATCGTTTTATAGCGCTTTATCGTGCTAGCAGTGGCTTCAAAGTTATTCACCCAAAGGAGGGTAGCTTTCCTTGATGGCACGGGAGCCCGCTGCGATAGACTGAACTCACAACAAAAAGCGCGCTGAGCACAAACCATTATATACACGTTTTTATAAATATGCCTTTCCAGCAAACGTGTGTTGTGCACTCGTCCAACGCTCCATGGCTACTGAAATTTCCACTTTTCTAGACGGCTATGGCCATTTCCCCCGTACTCTGATAGCCCCCAATTCCTTGTCAGCTGGTATAGGAATCATGCCGTTTCACTGCCTCACCCTGTATAAGTGACGGATAGTGAAATGATCTGTGTAGCTGTGTTACGGACTAGATCAGTTGTGTCACTATCCAGGATTTAGTTGTTTAGAGTTCAACTAGTGGCATGTAAAAATTCCTAAAAATATGAAAATGCAAACAACTTATTTGTAATATTTAAACTAACTAAGAATAAAATTATCTACTTGCCAATTGCTCACTTTGCTCACTAGTTTCACAAATAACTATTTTGCCACTAGCGCATTCTGTGACTGGCTCACACAACTACGTTCTTTTTTAACAAAAAGTTGGCTACAGCTGGTCCATATAGATGGAATGTCTTCTTCTGGTATAAATCATTGAATACTTATATGCCAACTGCGTGCGAAGTACGGGTACTCTGCTAGTTTATATTTAAAAAAATTACAGAATATTATGTTATTTATTTATTTATTTATTTATTTACAGAATGCTATTACATCACAAAATGACAGGACATTTGTCAATTACATTCTAATACTTAAAGCTAAATAATAATATTCAAATTAAAACAGAATAATTTAAAAACTTAAAATCCTACCATTTTCCACTTAAAAATTAATTTTAAGAATAAAATGTTTTGGTTAGCAACCAGTTTTTACATTTTTGTTTTTAATTTATTTGGATTGGTGATGTTTTTTTTTAAATTATCAGGAACTAAGCTGTACAATTTAGGTCCAATATATTGAGGTGATGCTTCAAATAGTGATAATCTATGGCTAGTGGGCTTAATTAGGTTCTTATGTCTAGTGTTATACATATGGTTTGTGTGACTCTCCCTGAAAATGGAAAAATTGTTGAAAACCCAAAATAATGCTTCTTAAATATATAGGTAGTAAAATGTTAAAACTTGACAAGCCTGAAAGATGGTTTTACATGGACTTCTTCGGGGTACTTAAGCAATAATTCTAAGTGCCTTTTTTTGAAGCCTAAACATCGATTTACTATGGCAAGAATTTCCCCACACAAGAATTTCGTATGAGATTAAAGATAAAAAATATGAGTGATAAACTGTTAATTGAGTTTTAGTGTCAGTGACTTGAGAAATTGTTCTGAGAGAAAAAATTGCTGAAGAAAGTTTTTTTCGTAATTTGTTGATGTGAGGTTATAGGTTGCCGCTTCAAATAAACCAACAAGTTGGGTTCTATGGAGTTCAATAGTATTAAAAAGTAAAAAATTAGTACTGTTTTTAAGATCAACAACAGAGGACAGCACAAATCCCCCCCCCCCTATTGCAAAGCACGAGTACAGCAGCTAAACCAAATATAGCCCGTAACTTCATTAAAACATTGCAAATTTCCTATTATAAAACTTATTTTTAGTTCTAGTTGTTACAAACTGAAGCATAATAGTGATAGTTTTCGTTTGAAAAATAATACAGGTTGAAATTGAAGCAAACATGCGTACCTACCCGATACCTAACAGATTTTGAACAAGAATGATAAAATAGTAACAGCTGATCAGAAGTTACGTTTACTTTTTTTGTTCCTGTTACTGTTCTATCTATTTATCTAGGCTATATAAAGCTAAGAAGGATCTGAACGTTTGAGAAAACCGTAAGGCCGTTTGTATCAACCGCATAATTGAAATGAAAGGTCTTGGTGTGAAACTTTCCCGAAAAATATCAGCTTTTCGATAATTTCTTAAGGGCAGTTAGGGGAGTTTGCCTAAGGGCAGGAACTTAATTTTAGGGCTGTATTTAATCACATTTAAAATATTGAAGATCCTTCAGCTGTTAGATTTTATTTTGTTTTAGTTTGTTTGTTTACTTTTATAACCTTATGATTCTACAATAGATTTTTCTATATTGCACCAAGATAAGTGACAGTTCGTTTAGTCCAGGCGCTAAACGGGTTGAGTATGCACTGAAAGTCTGACAAAATTTGACTTTTGATTATTGTTGGGGACATCTAGTAGATGAAAAAAATCGATGATGTCGCATTTCTAGGGTGGTCACAACTCGGGGGGGAGGGGGAAAAGTTGCGCGGGTCATCGGTTTACGTTTCCGCGTCTAACTCACAAACGGTTAATGATAGAAAGGTGAATTAAGCGTCTATCTACGCCTAAATATATTGTCTTTTAAAAAGGTTATTACAACCTTTCTTCTATCTCTCATACTTTAGGCGCTAATCAACATTTATTGCAAAAAAAATTTAAAAATACTTTAAAATGAAAAATCGGAAATATTGCGCTGGTTTAGGGCATGTTACAAACTATTTATTATTAGAAAAACTAACAAGTAGTACAACAGCACCAAGTTTAAAGAAATCTGTGCAAAAACAACAGAGCTACGTTGATTTCAGTGAGAGTAAACGTGGAAAATTCGTAGTAGTACCGAGGCGCGCATGGACGGTACGGAGCCCACAGTCAATAGGTTTGATGTTGTAAGTAACTATGGGAAAGCTGAATTTTTCTATGCTGTTAGACCATGTTGAGATGAGGATTTTCCCAAAAGTCCCCACTCCTCCCCCCTTGTGATTTCCTTTAACCCCCCTTTTTAGATAAATTTACAGTCTCTTAGAAATTAAGCTATAACTTTAAAACGGGTAAGGATAATAACGCAATCTTTTATTAATCATTTTGCGTAACGATATTCTACAAAAAGTGTATTTACCATGGTATCCTAAATATTCATAGATAAAAAATATCATAAACATAAAAAAATAATTTTTACGGATTAATTTATGAAACTTTTAGATTTTTTATACGAGGTCACACAACAAAATGTTTGATACAAAATTTGGGGTGCATAGTTTACATTTTAAAATGATACATAGTTATTAACAGTTTGTTTGCATATAGTGGTTATAGATAGTACAGTATATTGATTTTACAGGACTCTGGCTTTTTTGTGCACCGCAACAATGAAAAAAATTACGTATATCATGGTTTTTGTATTTGAATTTGCCGCTTTATATAGATTATATTAACGTTATGTAGCTCATTCAGTACATATACAGACTGTAGTGGATACATATGAATGAATATCGTGCATTTGCTGCTGTACGCCAGACCCTCATTTTATTATACAGGATGTCTCACCTAAAGTGAACCAATAGATAACTTTTTTATTATGAGATATAGAGTTAACTTCTTATGGGACACTACCCTTTATTTTAAGATGGTTTTTTAGTGGTTTCGAATTTTAAAAATATGTTCGCCATTTTCCAATATGGCTGACAACTTTGTTAGTCCTATGGAATACCCTGTATTTTATGATTGTTTTAGAATGTAACACAATTTTTAAACCTTTTTATTCTTGAGATTTTTCTCTAAAGCTACTTGTTTAGGAGTTACATCGAAGAAGAAATGGTTTGTGAGTACATCCTGCATCCTGTAGCTCATAAACGAGTAAGTTTAAGAGCGAAAATACAAAGAATAAACAAGTTTTTAAACACATCTACATTTAAAAAAAAAACATAAAATAAATTGTGCCAATATCAAAGTAAGCTACCATTTTTGAAAATGGTGAACATTTTTTAAACAACAAAATCAGTATTTTTTAACGTATTTTATATATTTTTTTGAACGAGGACTTATATGTGACTTATTTATTCTTTGCACTTTCTCTCTCAACTTACTCGTTTATGAGCTACAGGATGCCGAATGTACATCACAAGCCTTTCTTTTAGATATAACACGCTGTAACTCCTAAATGGGGTAGGTTTATAGAAAAAATGTCACGAATAAAAAAATTGCTTTTAAATTCTAAAAGAATACTAAAATACAGCGTACTCCATAAGAAATAACAAAGTTGTTAGCCATATTGGAAAATGGTGGATATATTTTTTTTATTCGTAACCATCCCTAAAAACATTTTTTACAAATAAAGGGGGTCGTCGAATAAAAAGTTAACTCTATATGGAAAATCAAATTTATGTATGTTCACTATGTAATCTCAACCTGGATGAAACGTGTACCCTTTTATAGCAGAATGTCCAATTTAAAAAAAAGATACGTCAATTTTGGTCTAACAAGTTATATTTAAATGAATATGAGTTTTTTTGAATTTTTAAATGGCAAAGATTGGCGGGCACTTGGAAATTATCTTAAAGAGGCGTAGAGTAAAGGGTGGGAATTGATAATGGAGTATAATTATTAAATTTAAAAATTGAGATATCAATACAAAAATGGGAAAAATCTATGTAATTTAAAAAATTTCTTCTTCGATGTAACTCCTAAACAAGTAGCTTTAGAGAAAAATCTCAAGAATAAAAAGGTTTAAAAATTGTGTTACATTCTAAAACAATCATAAAATACAGGGTATTCCATAGGACTAACAAAGTTGTCAGCCATATTGGAAAATGGCGAACATATTTTTAAAATTCGAAACCACTAAAAAACCATCTTAAAATAAAGGGTAGTGTCCCATAAGAAGTTAACTCTATATCTCATAATAAAAAAGTTATCTATTGGTTCACTTTAGGTGAGACATCCTGTATAATAAAATGAGGGTCTGGCGTACAGCAGCAAATGCACGATATTCATTCATATGTATCCACTACAGTCTGTATATGTACTGAATGAGCTACATAACGTTAATATAATCTATATAAAGCGGCAAATTCAAATACAAAAACCATGATATACGTAATTTTTTTCATTGTTGCGGTGCACAAAAAAGCCAGAGTCCTGTAAAATCAATATACTGTACTATCTATAACCACTATATGCAAACAAACTGTTAATAACTATGTATCATTTTAAAATGTAAACTATGCACCCCAAATTTTGTATCAAACATTTTGTTGTGTGACCTCGTATAAAAAATCTAAAAGTTTCATAAATTAATCCGTAAAAATTATTTTTTTATGTTTATGATATTTTTTATCTATGAATATTTAGGATACCATGGTAAATACACTTTTTGTAGAATATCGTTACGCAAAATGATTAATAAAAGATTGCGTTATTATCCTTACCCGTTTTAAAGTTATAGCTTAATTTCTAAGAGACTGTAAATTTATCTAAAAAGGGGGGTTAAAGGAAAGCACAAGGGGGGAGGAGTGTTGACTTTCAGGAAAATGATCATCTCAACATGGTCTAACAACATAGAAAAATTCAGCTTTCCCATAGTTACTTACAACATCAAACCTATTGACTGTGGGCTCCGTACCGTCCATGCGCGCCTCGGTACTACTACGAATTTTCCACGTTTACTCTCACTGAAATTAACGTAGCTCTGTTGTTTTTGCACAGATTTCTTTAAACTTGGTGCTGTTGTACTACTTGTTAGTTTTTCTAATAATAAATAGTTTGTAACATGCCCTAAACCAGCGCAATATTTCCGATATTTCATTTTAAAGTATTTTTAAATTTTTTTTTGCAATAAATGTTGATTAGCGCCTAAAGTATGAGAGATAGAAGAAAGGTTGTAATAACCTTTTTAAAATGCAATATATTTAGGCGTAGATAGACGCTTAATTCGCCTTTCTATCATTAACCGTTTGTGAGTTAGACGCGGAAACGTAAACCGATGACCCGCGCAACTTTTCCCCCTCCCCCCGAGTTGTGACCGCCCTAGAAATGCGACATCATCGATTTTTTTCATCTACTAGATGTCCCCAACAATAATCAAAAGTCAAATTTTGTCAGACTTTCAGTGCATACTCAACCCGTTTAGCGCCTGGACTAGTTTATCTTATAATGTGGGATAGTGTTCAAACTTTTAAATTCTGTTTAATTGTTTACTTATTAGTTTACTATTATTTATCCTAAGAATATTTATATAATCAAGTGGTACGAGAACCACAGAGTTTGGACTGAACCTTATGTGTTCCAACTGGGAAAAACGCATCCGTAGTTAGTATTTTTCCTTGTGACATGGACAATAATAAAAGTAATTTACATCAAGAACTAGTGCTTAATCGTCCAGCGGTTTGCATTGGACAGGGTGGTGAAGAATCTCCATATCTTCTCTGCTTTCTATCCTAGTGACACAATTAGTCTTGCAACATCAAGACGTTTTAAATATATTAGAGAACATTATCTCACAAAATAAAGAGTTTTATACTACTTTAACAGCCTTACACTTTTCAATAAAGATATGAGAAAACAAAACTGTACTGTTGGCAAATTTAGTGTAAGAGTTTGATACTATAAGTAAAAGGAGATTGACTGGGTAGATTATTTTAATAAGAAAATTTTGATTTTGTTTCAAAAAGAGTGGTTCGAAGCTATTGGTAGAAACACAGTTTATTTTGTAAATGAGGTTCTCCCTTAGTTTGACTTTAGTAGTCCCATATTTTTAATTAGCTTAGGTGATAAGGCTATAATATATGAATGGATTTAATCCGTAGTAATTGTTACTATAAAGGAAATCAATTCAAAAGTTCATGTTAGCCTGTAGTGAAGTCACAACTTCAGCACAATAAAACTAGAAAGTATGTCGGGCGAAGCCAACAGACAACAGCTAGTCCATAATGAAAAAGCATCTTGTGAAGGAAATATGAACATATTGTGGTTTTGGGTTATCATTTATTGCATCACCAACATCCATTACACTATAGTTATCAAAACAGCAATATTATCAGAGGTAAATACTAAATAAATCTTCAAAGCGTAGTCTTCCTCTCAAATTATGTCGATGTTGTTTAATTGTCTCCTTCAGAACTTACTGAAGCACTGATGGAAATCATCTCGGATAGAGAGTCTAAGGCAATGACATTATAAATTAATAGGCTTTACAACAATTAGTTACTAAAGAGGTGGGCATTCTAAATAGATTCCTCTACCACCTAGGCCTATACCTTATTCTGAGATACAGTAATACCGAGTCTATGAAGAATATGTGGTAGCGCTGCTGCAGGGGTACAGTACTAGATATTGTTTATACCTACTAGGGTAGTAGGTAGCACAAATGTTGTAGTGTACTTGGGTTGGTTTATACGTACAAGACACATAGTATTATACGTACACTGCCACCTTACCAATTTTACAAACCAGCGGCACGTTGGAAGTAGTCAAAGTCTAACCTTTGACTATTAATAGTCAATGGTCTAACTTAAACCATTGATATAACTAGAGGTCATCCAGTGGTCGAAAACTCGACCAAAATTATGTAATGTACAGACTTCTCTATTTCCACCCTACACTGTAAATAAAACATGTGATTGGAATTTCTTCCATTTGTTTTGATTTTCTGTTTACATTGCGCTGTTATTTCGTCACCAACAAAGCAACCCATAAGGTCAAAGTTAATTTTTTAAAGATTTTAAATTCAATTTTTGTGCTTATTTTTGAGCCTATTTTAATTTATGAAGGGAAAATATGTATTAATAATTTATGCACATCTATAGGAAAAATATATTTCCAACAGTACTCATAGATTCTCCCTGCGTGCAAACGAGCTGAGAAAAAAGGTTTTAAAGAATCATGCTTGTCTATTAATATATAGATATCTAGCTCAATGCTAGAATGGAAGGAAAGTTAGTATGATAGTAAATCCAAACGCACAGAAAAAGAATAAATAGATTACCCAATAAGTTTGAAATAACCCATGTTACATTTTTTCTGAGTACATTCCTTAGAGTACCTTAAGCAAGTATCAACGGCTACACTACCAATTTAAAAGATGGACCTTAAACATCTTTGTATTACTATTATTACTTGCTGTGATTAAAAATGTCCTTAAATTCAGTTTTACAATTTAATTGGAGAACAAAAATACATAGCATAAATAACCATTTTTTTATAAAATTGTTTAATTTTACATGTAATTGTCATAATCGTTTATGTCTCATTTTAGTCTCATTAAGTCTATCATGATATACTATAATGAAAGGACAAAATATTATTATTATAAGCCCGCAGAGTAGCAGTACCTGGATTCCTTTGATGTCGTCAGGGTGAAGTTCGAAATGAGACCCAAACCCGTGATATGTGGGATACATCAGGGCCCGCTTCTTCTTGGAGTGGCGAAGTCCTAAAGAGTGCCCAAGCTCATGAGCAGCTACGAGAAAGAGATCTTTCCCTAAAACAAAACCCACTTCCTTAACTAGATTTCAATAGATTCAACTAGATCAGGTATGATTAGACTTCAGTTCGTATTTACTAAAATTACCCGTAAATAATCGGTACTAAAATATTATATCCTTTGATGTATGCTACCTCTTTGCTATTTTGAATTCAATTATTCATACGCTTGAGACATCTGTTTGTAGTATTCGTGGTTTGTACTTAACTTGATAATCGTAAATTAGAACTGTTAAGTGTGTTTTGGGAATTTCCCATAAAGGGAATAGTAAGCTATTACCATAGGTCACATGTAAGATCTGAACCCGGGACCAATTTACCTTTTCATTTTGAGGTCCCCAGGGCCAGAGGCCAAAAACACCATCCGATCAAATTACATACATATATGTAATAATTAGTAAGTGTGATGACTCAAGCAAAAATGATCCAAATTTGATGAAATTCGGGTAACTTGAGTAAACCTGTGTTTTTTTCGAACTAGCTCATGAACCAGCATGATTATGGAATCGGATGTTATAGGAGGTTTTATGGGGTAAAATTGTTTTTCTCATTTTCGACCCTAAAGACAATTGCAATATCCATCTAAACCATTTGCAGAGCTAAAACAAATAGTTTAGTATATTGAAGCTTTGCCATGCACTTGATAGGTAAGGATAAAATGAAAAAAAAACTATAATTTAAAATGGAAATTAAGTAAACTGTTATAGTTTGCTTGTTTACAAACGTATTTTGATGAAATTTGGAAAACTTATTTATTTTAACCTAAACCATTAACAATTCACTTTATTTCCGTCCCTCTTCCCTAAAGCATCAAATCTATGCACTCGTTAATCCAATGTTATTAAAATTTGGAATAAATATGACATTTTTAAGGAGACATTTCAGTGAAAATATTAGCAGGCAAATGAAAATTCGCTTAGACTTCAGGTTTTCTTCTATGGGGGTGTTTTATTTTTCCAAATCTCTAACGTATTACTCGGATAGGTTTATTAAAAAAAAATTAAACGTGGGCTTTTATTCAATTTTAATAGTAGGACTTTTATTTATACAAAGATAATACAATTCGTATTGAGCTTTTATTTTCTCTCTCTGGGTGTAGTAAGCAAATGACAATCACCTTTTGAAATGATACAAATTAATCAATGAAAAAAATCTATTTTTTCATACTATTCAATATTTCAACTTTTTAAAGGGGGTTGCAGCACAGCCTGGGATTTGAACTCAAAGAAGCGTTTATACCACATAAAATCCGTCTCCAGCAACGGGTTCTAGATTTAACCAACAGGTACATTATTCATTCTTACATCAACTTTTCAGGATTAAATTTTGTAATATTTTCATACATTTAAATTTTTGGTGACGTCATGCAATTTTTAAAAATCTACCTTTGCTTGAGTCGAGGGTCCAATTTTCAGTGTCGTCGAAGTGAGCGTCTCCTCCAATGGGGTTTGAGGATGGTTGATAAGCATGGGCTAGAACATGACTAGGTCCGTCGAATGGCTTACAAATCTCGTTGTGATGTCCTCTTTCAAACCTATACCGAATAAATTATATTCATAATTAAACATATTCGGTCATAAAAATAAAAATTGATTACTTTACTTAATCTTGGGTGCTTAAGTGAATGAGCTTGATAATGTTGCTAGTAAGTCCAAGTACTTGCTTAGATAGTGTTAGTGCTTTACTCAAAGTCTCCAAAAACCTATATCTGTGGTGAATACTATTTCAGCTGATTCACCTGATCTCAATGTGGACAGGACCACTGTTTTTCTTGACGAAGGTCAGGGGAGTGACGCTCGACCAGACGTCGAACGCTCTCCTTATTGCACTGTCTGTTTTTTCTCTTGAAAAGTTGCTTGGGTATTTTGTTATCTTGTATTTGAGCTGCTTCTTAGACCAGCGTGTGCCTGGAACAGGGTAAAAATTCAAACCTTCAGTTTTAACGTTAACTAGTTTAAGTGCAAATGAAGAATAATAGTTTTACGCCAATAATAGTCTAGCTCCAGGCCTTAGTGTAACGGTTTTTTTTTACTTTAGCCAATCAATAGAGCCATTGTGGTATAACTGTTTATATAAATAAATGGTATTGGAAATCTGTTAAATATTCTCTCCAATTAGCTATCCCAATAGCTGATCAACAACCCTTATCATGGGAAAGCAGTGGCAATAACTACGATTTCTTATGGGTAAAATCACAAAAGTTGTAATACCGCAACTGTTACAGCGATATGGGCTGTACCATGAGTTAAAAGGACTATAATCGTTCGGGCTGTTTTGTAAAATTCCAGTTGTTCATTATTTGAGTTTTTATCTTCATAAAAAATCAAAACTTAAAAAATGAAAACAAACACCTGGAGATACAATAGATTTGTACCAAATAACAAATTTAATCTAAATCGGACCACAGGTGTGGTCTGTAGCTCTGTACACATCCACACACATACGTTTGTGTACAAAATGCACAATTGCGGATATGTGGTTAACGAAGTGATTTTGGGAAAAATTGTATCCTTGACTTTCTTTCTACTTTAACCCGTAGAACAATTTCCCGGAGTTTGGCTGTTCACTTACGGAACATTCTGTATATCCACCAAAACTTAAACTCGAACATTTTACGTAAACAATACTTTCTCTATATACTATGTATAGAGTAGAGAGTAAAACGATAAAATATTAATAAATTTCTTACCAAAAAGCGTAAAAGAGTTGGGGGAGTTGGGGTTATTTTGAGGTGTTTGTTCCAGATCCACCATTCCACATCTTGGCTGTTGCATCTGTCCGCTTGTCTCACTGTCCAGTGTTCCTGACAAATTAAACAAAATACAATCATAGGATCGTAGTCAATCACCATTGGTTAAAATAGGCTGAAAATTAAATTAAAGAAATAAACGAAACGCTCTCAAAATAAACATGAACTAATCTTAGTATTGTCTTCAACTGGTGTATAGTTTTTGAATGAGTAATTTTATTTTATTGCAACGCAATCGTAGATATTTATTCTTTTATTTTTCTTGTTTTATATGTTGCTTTAGCTTGAAATACGCTTTTCTCAGTCTAAGTTCTAAGTATAAAACATGTTGCATGGACCTACATAGTGAAACATGTAGTGTTAAACCATTCTCAGCATTGAAAACCTCGCTGCAACAAACCTGCAGACATTAGATTTAAAGATTACTAAGGTTTGCTGCAACGGGGAAGGGAAAAGTGTTTTTATGTGATAGTCAAATGGTATAGGATAAAATAAATAAATTTGCCAAATTTGATCAAAGTATATCCACAAGCAAGAAAACTATAACGTTTTTCTGTTCTCCATAAGAACAACATGAGAATTTTCAAATGTACAGTTGTTTTTTTATTTTCTCCTTAACCTTTAATCGTGCAAAAACGCTTGCAAAGTTGTTTTTTAAGCTCTACAGGTACACAATAGGTGTAATACAATTTGTCATATTAATGTTTTTATGGATATAAATAAAACAATTTTTGAAAAGTTTAAAACCTTATAACCTACTACGATTAGATCTTGCTGGCCCGCGAACTAATTCAACTAGACGTAAATTTACACGTAAACCAAACTGAATCAACATCGGATGGTTTTTACATGAGTTGTCGTGCTAAAACACACACATGCACATCTCTTTGCAAATCTTCTAATTGTTTCTAGTGGTCGAAAAAGTTACTCGAAAACATTAATAGAATTTTTATTCACTAACCGAGGATAGAAGTGTTATGGTCAAAACGTACCCGTCACCTTCAGTCCCATGAATTCCTGATAGGATCTGATAGCATTGGCAAGAGCTTGATCTGTGATGAGGCTGCTGGGTTTGTTCGGATCAGGTGGTGGAAGGTATCCAAACTCAGAGAGGTGTGACTGTAAACAACATTATTTTCGTCATACTGCGGCAAAAGCAGCTGTTAAAAAGGTCTAAAGTATCATTTTTACATGGAGTAAAAATCAGCTGTTGTAAATGTCGATTGTAGCAATCATATGGATCGATATTGTTGATTGTTTGATTTATCAGGTTAGTTAACTTATTGTTGTATTCTTGTTAATAGTTTGACATATCGACGGTATAATGTACAGTAACACAATCGTAATAGACGAAATGATTGAATAACAGCCACTTATTTACATTAGCAAAATAGAAAACAAGCTCCAAGTCGTTTTGAGAAGTTATCTTTAGATACGTATTTTCGTTTCATAGCTTAGTTTGTTAATTAATGATGTAATATGACGAAAAAGTAATGTGTAATGTTCATCACCTCGGCTTCACCTCCATCGTAAAACTTGAGATTGGGTCGAAAAGTCACTTTAGGCCCTAGTGATGAAATATACTACTTCATTGTTTTTGCAAATTTTGTAACAACTCTACTTATACCCCTTCAAAACCACACTTTAACAAGAACAATTTGTAGAGCAACTATCAAAGATATGAACAATTAAACATGGCTAAAATTTCTTAATTCATTAGCAATGCAATATTATAGACGACGATTGTGTGAGCTAAACCAAAAGATATTTTTCTGCAAAATACAAAAGATTCACTATGTGTATCGAATGTGGCTTTAATCGAAACCCTTAATATCAGTGCAACGTTCCTTGCACAAACTTTTATTTCTCCTAATAGTAAGTTATTTTAAGTTGTAACTATGTAAAAGACAACCTTAATAGTAACTATACGCAAACAACTGTCATACAACGATTGTTAAGATTATAACTTCGTAACTGAAACTCGTTACGAGTAATAGGCTACTTACCACTGGGTCAAGATCGAGAGGCGCTGCACCTACGATCGACAAAAGTAATGTTGGAAAACCCACGATTGATAGATACTTAAACATTATAACTAATTATTATACAAAAACACTCTTTCACTGCAGTCAAATTATGTGACTGATTTGACCACCAAGGTTAAACGTCTTTATATCTACATGCAATATCTGCCAACTGACGACGACGCCGCACTGATCCCGGAAAACTTGACCTTTTATATATCTCAGCTCTTTCCTTATAGAGTGGGGCACTAAAGTTAATATTCATGAGGCTGCTGCACTCCAAAAAAAGGAATGAGGCTAGCGTTCGCACTGTATCATACACAAATCTTACTTAATTTTCAAGTTCACGACGTTAAGTTACGTGTTTAGTGATTGATGTAGGTATAGGTTGGAAAAAAAAAATATGAGTGTTAAAATTTTAGATTATTTTTTTTTAACATAGGAGTTTGGTATTTACAAGTTATAGGACCATTTTGAAAACCATTTTAAAGTGATAAGGCCATCCGGGATTTTTTTTAATGACTTTACACAGACACACATATTTACATATTTGTCACTAAAAGGTCACACATTGGAAAACATCTTTTTGAAAATGACCGTGTAAAAAACCTTGTCTGGAGAGTGCAATCCCTCCTTTGTTAGTTCTCAACAATACAACCCTGTTATTTTTATTGTGTCGTGCCATCCCCCCCAAAATCCTATAATTTTGTTCACAGATCTACAAAACCTATTGAAACGTTTGTGTTAGCCTATCAATTTGATAAATGTAAAGAGATTTAATGGAATGAGTTTTCCTCTTTCATAATCTTGCAGTTTTCTATCCGAGCCAATGAAAAACCGTTGTTTAAAGGTCAACGGGGAAAACACTTCAGTTAATAATTGCTACATGTATACTAACTGCGCCTCACGAATAAAACATAAGGGTCAAGCGCCCTCAAACAGGGCAATACAAACTGCCACCTTGTATCCACAAATTAACTACATATTTATAAAACCTAGTATAACCACACGTATTATAAACAACATTAACAGTGATCTCTGAATAAACGCTATTCCATGCCAATCAAACAGAGATTGTTGTTTTTTTTTGTTTTTTTTTTTTAAGGTACACAATAGTTAGAAAAAGTAACAGACAATAATGGGTTTATTTAGGGGTGAGTTCAGTCAACAATGACCACAGATTTGGGCAATCGCAGTCCCATGGTAAGTTTCCTAAGGCTCGTCCAAACCGAAGCGGGAAAGTGGCGGGAGCGGTGCGGTAGCGGGAAGGGGGTGAGTGACCGGCGGGAACCAGCGGCAGCGATACGTGGCGGGAAAGAGGTAGCCCACACCGAAGCTGCAAGCAGCGGGAACGGGACGATTCCTCAGTTCATTTTCATCTTAGCTACAGAGTGGTTGTGTTAAGTGAATGTTTGTGGTTTATGCGTTCATTTCATGAATCGTAATTTAAAAGAAGCTTTGCTCTTGCTAGCAACAGCTGAGGATGAAGATGAAGCTGCAAGACGGCGATCTGTTTGGGTTCATGAATTTAATTAAAATATACATTTATTTGGCAAAATACCACCATACCCTTATGCCAAATCTAAGGAAAGACAAAAGGTGGGTTCAAAGGGGGTTATCTACTACCCAAAAACTACTTTAAATTTCAATAATTTTATGGTGAGGTGGCTAAAAAATAACAAGTCTTAACATCATGAGCCATCTACCCATGTGTTCCCGCGGCGGTACGAGCGGGAAAATCCAACATGTTTCAAACCGGCGGGACGATCGAACAACGCTGCGGGACGGCGGGAGTACCGCTCTAGTGTAGGTGCTCACATCTAACACTATGTGTTTTAAAATCCCGTGCGGGAATTCGTCCCGCCACCTTCCCGCTCCCGCCGCTTTCCCGCTTTGGTTTGGACGGGCCTTAAAAGCGGTGAAGGAAACGGTCCCCAGCCTACGCTAAATAAAAGTTTTACAACAAACCATAAACAACGTAACTCGAATGAAAAGTACTGAACTGTATGAAAACATATCTGGATGCAAGGTTTAAATAGGGTTGAGTTAAGATCAGCAACAGCAAATTTTAGTTCCTAAAGTTACCGTAGTAATTTTCCGTCTAGATCTGTATTTTAAGGACTGAAAGAAACTATGCTATAGCCCATAGACAAAACATGCAATATTAACAAAGGTAACGCTGGATATTTCAAAGAATTTGTACACCCATGGCTACACACAAAGCGTACAAAAGTCCTAATGCTTTTATTGCGCGCGTACAGATTGGCCAATGGTTCGAAGGTCTTTTCTAACATACAGATTGACCAAAGGTCCGAATGAGCAGGGACAAAAAATGGGGGAAGAGCTTACAGCAGCGATGTACCATGTGGGGGAGGGGCTTGTCTATTCAAGTACAGTGTTTGTTAACGTTTTCTAATCTTACCAGACACAGAGGTAGCCTCTTTAATGCTATTGAATATCATAGAACCAACTTGTGTAGTTCAAACAGCTGACAAAATTCTTTAATTCATTTTAAATATGAATACTCATAAGGTTAACATGGGAAACTAAGGAGCCATTGGGGCAGAGCCCGAAATAATTTTTGGGATAAGAATATGTCTAGATATGTTAATCGGGAATGTGAGCTATCTTCATACCAAATTTCAACCCGATCAGACCAGTAGTTAATGCATGATTAGATATCAATCAATCAAACAAACAAACAAACAAATAAACTCACAAAATTTCACAATATTAGTACTATGATATATTGTAGTTGATAAGGGTGAAAAAATGATGTCTCATCATATCTATATTATTTTCATTGCGTGCGCAATTTCTTCAAGGTAACTTAGAAAGATAAATAATACTAATGACACCTACTATGATAACACAAAATCTAACGTAAACCATTTTCTTCTTTACATTTCATACAAAATAATACAACATTTTCTTGATTTAACTTAAACATCACCGACTTACAGATAACACCATTTTCGTATGGATGTAAACAAAATCGTACTATGGACATATGTTTTGATGTAAAAAAAATTTTGTTCTAAACTTGTAAAAGTTCTGATGATTGACAACAGAATTCAGCACAAACTATGCAATTTTAAAAGCTAATATGACGAGCTTAAATATGCTTTCACGGGATATCATACAAACGCGCAAAAGGCACATCTAAACTCAAGCCATGAACGGAATGTGAAATACTGCACCAGTTGATTGTAGTCGAAATATCTTTAAGTGTTACTTTTTCAAGAGTAAAAGTATAAACAGTAATAATCAGTATAAACACATAATAAACAAGTAGATTCTTCTCCAAAATATGGCAATAAAACATTTTCTGAGAGTTTTGTAGTTTTCTTACTTACGCGACAAGAGGAAAACAGTTTGTATGCTCGTTCATACTTCTTTCTTGATTTTTCAGGTAATAGGTTTAATGAAACATGTTTTTAGTTTCTGATATTTCTGTCTACCATTATATACACAATTACTTTTACTGAGTTCATTATTGTTAAACATGTTAGGCCCACTTATAATTCATCTTTCAAATACTACAATATTCAAGTTGTGTTCAAACGAAGCGTTGAACGAAAATAGAACATAAACTACAAACACGAAATGACAGGTTAAATCGTAGTTATAATAGTCAATCAGCTGATCATAGTATTATTATCTTTAAGTGTTGTCAACCTATTTCCAAGCGTACACGGATTACTAGCTAAATAAAATCACGCTATTTTGTGTTGTTTGGTTGAAATCCTGATGTACGACAAAGTATAAACCGTGCGACAAAGTATAAATCGTACGAAAAAGTGTAAATATGCAGCATTTAGCATCTTTATGTACTACAAACAGTACAAGGAAGCCAACTTTGTCAGGTGACTGTAGGAAAATAAGTATTTAGGTGTCGATTTGCTGCACACAAAAATACTTAATTATTAACAAATATATAACTGTGATAAATGCAATTTGGAGTTATTATTTTCTTTTAATGGCAACTGAAAATGTAGCTGACTGAATAAGTAATTTAATAACAAATTATTATTTATTTGAGGATTTTAAGGTAAAATGTTAAGAATTATTTGAAGTTTAGAATTTTAATTTTTGGTTTAGTTGAATGTTGAATAAGTGAATAGATTTTGACACTCTGTGGTAGAACATTTTGTTCGGGTTATTTCACTTCCAATGGAATGAATATCTTTTTCCTTTTTTTAACTTTAGTTAAAATACTACTACTATAATGAATATTGCTGGATCGGTTTTTTGAACTTAAAAATGAACATCGTGTGCGAAATACTAAGACAGATATTAAAGGTAATTTTCAAACAATGTGTATACACATAAAAACGAGAATGCTTATGCTTTGAATCTTGAAAGAACACTTCAGGACTTTTAAATGGTAACATTATCTTAATTGTTATAACTAGGTCAAACAAACTAACAATTTCGTAACCAACTCGACCTCCCAAAAAATGTAACTTACTTTGTGTACTTGACAAGAAATTGATATTGAATTTATAAGCAATTAGTTAGATTTTATAGCCTATTATTTGCATTAGAATATCGCACTGTTTTGTTTAAGCTACAGTTGAATGTAAAAACCTTATTTGTTTACTTAACAGCTTACATAAAACTTAGTGTTTTAAAAAGTAAAATTCTTCTCTTGAGTTTGGCCACCTCTGTGACTGGTAAGATTATAAAAAGTTAACAAATACTTGACTTGAATGGACAAGCTCCTCCCCCACACGGGACATCGCTGCTGTAAGCTCCTCCCCCATTTTTTGACCCTGCTCATTAGGACCTTTGGTCAATCTGTATGTTAGAAACGACCCTTAAACCATTGGCCAATCTGTATGTGGCCCTTTTATTTAGGGGGTTATCTTAGAGATAAAGACTGTGGAATTCGAATCCATACAATCAATGTAGTTGTGAAAGAGAGTTTTTAAGCAGTGGATTTCAACTTAATTGTGCAGTTTTCAAACAGAAAATATTCATATTCAGAGGTTCAGACTGAGAACCTAAAGACTGTTTTTCATATTGAATACGCGTCAATGTAAGCTAAATTATGTTCACTTAATTTGTATTACTGCAGTGAAAATAATTGCTTGTAGTAATAGTCAATTTATAAAGAAATTATAAGTTGACAAGCCACTTTGCCCGTGCTCCGCAACGGGAAGAGAACGCATAAGAGAATAATTATTATTCCATAGATCTGCAGTACGTAGATAAACTTTTAGTAATCCACTAAAAGTATTAACTTAAAATATTAACTGGCTACTTTCGTTTCCCAGACATTATTTTTTGGGAAATAAACCATACAAACTCAATAGTTTTTTATATAAACATTTTGGAAAAAGAAAGTCAATAAATTTATGAATTACGCACTTAAAAAATAAAACCCCTTATTCACACACTATCAAATATTATTTATTAAATTAAAAACATAAACATAGCTGTAAACAATCGTACTTTGACAGTTCTAATTTTGTATCAAAGCTGCTTGATTGAAATTAGCAACAACTGTTGTCATAAATTTAGACAATTAATAGTGCTGCACCCTGTTGGTACATTTTGTAACCTGTTAATTTTATTGATCGTCACAGAATGAAATCGTTTAGCCTAGTTGAAACAGCTGTTAAGATTCTTTAATTCCGTTTAAATATGAGTACTCATAAGGTTAACATGGGAAACTCCAGAGCCACTGGGGCGAAGCCCTTTTGACGGATCACGAAATTGATGGTTGCACCAAACTTCACACAAACCATCCTTGAATAATGCTTAATAATGCCTGAAAGTTTCATTACAACCTGTCGAGCGGTTGCGGAGTCCATAACGTTTAAATATATATACAAACTTCCTCTTTTATATTTATAGATTAAATAACAGTAATATTACAAAATAAACTCGATACGTTTCCTATGTAAACCATACATTCCAGACCTTTAACATACCTTCACATAAACCACAAAAAGTATATATTTATAAGAAAGTATCAGTGTTCGGCTTTACCTGGATAAAGCTGGAGAATCAATACTTCTGTATTAAACCATATAAAATAAATTAATTTTCCATTGCATTGTTTCCATTAAATTACATTTTTTTTTACTTTCGTTACAAAAATATTGTAATATCAATGAGTTTTGTGGACATGTGCTTGCTTGCTCAGTCAATTTTCGTAAATTATAAGAACCTCCGTAATTTTAGGGGGGGAGGGGAGATTTTTGTAATTTTTGGGCGTTGAAGAATATTTAATTTTTAGTGGTAAGAAAAATCCAAAAACCTGCCATTTGCTAGACATCCTGTAGAAACGCGTATTTATACATTTACGCGTTTCCTCTTACAAAATAGCGAAAACCACAAGAGACTGTAAAAAATTGTGTCAATTTTCCTTAAACATCAATTGACCTGTATTAATGATATTGCAGATAACATAGCTACGATAACAGATAGACGATCACTCCATTGACCCTCAAATCTTGTGTAAACGTGATAGTCAGAAGAGGAAAACTCTGTGGAAGACGACTTGCCGTATTGCATAGTCTTGATATCTAGAAGAGTCAAGGGGCAAATTTTAAATTCAAGGGTATTTTCTCTACAATCCCCTTATCAAGCTGTTTTATAATTGATTTATTATTAATGCCACACTATTTTCCACCTCTATAGTCTACTATTCTGTCTGAATATAAGTTTATCTATATATTAATTTGAAACTGTTTTCTCTGTGACAGCTATTTTGAGAGAACGGCTGGGCGTAGAAACTTGGTAGGGGTCTCTAAAGAAAGGTCTTGGTCTGTAGATGAGCCATCAAGAGAGGAACGAGGTAAATTCCCTTGGGGCTCTACCCCAGAAGCCTTTAAAGTTGCCTCTTCAGATTTGTTTACTGTACTACCATATGCATAACTCTACACTACTTTTTAATGCAACAGCTGTTAATACTTAAATTGTGATTTATTTAATTTTTCAAAATGAAGTACGGTATTTGCAATGGATTTTCCTGATTTTAAAATTGATTTTCTTCTGCATCATGTCATGTTTTGCAACATAAAGTTCTATTACCAAATCAGTGGAAAATCCTAATATCACAGTAACTTTTAAAATTATTTATTATGGAGTTAACTTATATCTATTGTATGGGTTGGTTTCTGTCTTTTTTACCACTTCTTGGAGATTGTACGTAGGTGATATTCTTTGGCATATTGCATCTGTAGACGAAACTTGGGTTGGTGTAATTATTACAATGGAAAAGAGCGAGAAATCCTGGACAATTTGATATAGGCTAAAAATTAAACTGAATTAACACTGTGCTACATTTCTTGAGCAATCATTGAAATAACCGATTTACAAACAATGGAAACATAGAAAAAGTCATATAACACAACCAAGTAGAAGAAATATAAATAATATTTTTTTACACTAAAAACACTAAACAAGATCAGCTTTTTGAAAAAAGATAAGATATTTTATAAAAGATTTTGATTATATCTAACTGTTGTGTAGATCGTGAGTATTTCCATAATCTTTGAGTCACCTGTAATGCTTCGCAATTGCTCGAATTCGAGCAACAGGTACACTAGTATAATTTAAATTTGAATGCACCTAAATCACCTTAATTCTGTTATTAAAATTCTATTGACTTCAAAGGATGTAGAGCGTAGCCAAAAAAGACGAAGATTTTAAGGAAATTCTGAAAACTTTCATACATTGGTCGAAAACTCGACCAAAAATATGTAACGTACAGACTTCTCTACTTTCCCCGCACGCTGTAAATAAAACATGTGATTGGAATTTATTCAATTTGTTTTGATATTCTGTTTATTTTTTTATATTATTTTGTCACCAGCATGGCAACCCATAAGGTCCATGTCAGTTTTTTTCAAAATTTTAAATCAATTTTAATTTATAAGGAGTTATGCACACCTAGGCTACAGAAAAATATCTTTCTAACCGTATGCTGAGAAAAAAAGTTTTGAATGAAACGTGCTTGCCTATTAATATATTAATATTAATATGCAATTCCCCACTGGCCCTGTATAATTGATACCTAAGCCACTTATTTATTTTTCAATATTGCATTAACTTGGTGTAATTTCAGGAAATTCATAAGACATTTTCGTTTCATAAGTATACAAATATTGCACAATACTAATGAAATGTAGCCGAGGTGCAGAATAAACTTAAAGAATACTTTTATCCGTAGCTATTTTTTTACACTTGATGGTGAACCATGCATGGATTTTGTTTGCCACAACCTGAAATACAACTACAGAGAGTCCCTTTGTAGGTACAAAACATACTCAACAGTTGGCGGCCACGATCCCCTATACCTAATTACTGATAAGCTGATATGCATTTACATTGTTGTCAACAAGGTATAGTGTTACTGGGAATTCGTTGTGAGAAGAATCAACACGGTGTCACCGCAATATCAAAAAGTATGTATTGTAGAAGGATAAAAGTAAATCTACCATTCATTATTTGCCAAGAGAGTTTTGTAAATAAGCTATCCTACCAGTACCACTGCATGGAAAAGATCACATTGCCACAGCTGTAAACAGTACACAAAAAAGCCCATTTATGCTCTAAAGCGGGACATGGATCATTCCCGCTCGCTAATCAGCTGATTTCAATGTTGGCGTTTCTACACCAATTACAGCCACTCATCAGGTACGTAAAAAACTGGTAAGCAAATAACATAACCTAAAAAAATCCAACATAGCCTACATGGTATTATTATATACAACTAAAAAGTTAATCTGTGTGCTTGTAAGTTAATTATGGTGGTAGGAAACATCTTGTGCGATGAGCACAAACAGTCATTGTGCACAACAGCTCTTAATACACAAATATATGTAGGCTACATTAATAACAAATAAACATGCGTTGCGTTTTAGACCAACCATCTTCAGTCTTGTACCCAAAATATCCCCAATAAAACAAGACAACAATGTGACAATGCATATCAGATGATTGGTAATTAAGTAAAGAAATCATTACTGCCAACTTAAGAGCATATTTTTAACTACAAAATCTGTACTTGTAACTGTGTTTAAAAATTGACAACATATTTTTATGACACCTTTACTTAGTTCCATCTAGTTTGACCTGAACGTACCTTGATTTATGTTATCAAGTGATAGTGCTGGTATGTTTGGGAAGGCCTGGATTTAATGTATTCATATTACATCCATCGATCTCTATAATAAAAATCCACGATTAAATCATACTTTTTCCTGGTTCAGCGTGTTGCTATCTGTCGGGAGGGGATATAACCATCCATTGCGGGTTTCGCGCTCTGCAAGTCAACTTCGCGAGTTAGCAGTTCCGAGTTTTCTAAATTAATAGCCATAACGTTACAGTCTTAAATATATATATATATTTGTTTAATATGCGGACATTCAATAAGTTCGTATTTTTTACAACATATGCAGTGTTAGTTTTTACAGGATACTCTGCTGCAATATCATCAGGTCCAACGGTAAGACATACAGTCACTAGTGTTAAATAAAGTTATCAACAATTAATAGTAAAGTTAATCGATACTTTGTTTGGTCACAGGAGTAATCTACTCGTGTTGATAAATTTAGTTGGGAACAAATTGCTAGGTTGAATATTAACAAGTTGCTAGGTTAAATATTAACAAATTTAAATGATCGAATGAATCGCTGCATACATTTATTTTCTTTACATGCGCGTTCAGGAGTTTATGTTTAGTTACATTAAAATACAATTACAATAAAGTAAATTATTTAAACTTAAGCTAGATTATGAGAGACCGTTTGAATGGGTAAAAATGTCTTTGATTTTAGAATTGCTGAATAAAAAAGTAGTTGCATTAAATATAATCAAACGTTTAACATAATCTAAAGACATTATAACATAGAAATTACAATTTTTTACATTTTGACGAGTCGTTAAATAGTTTTGAGTAATTCAAAGAACGAATTGTACTCCCCTCAGGCTTTCCAACCCGATAAAATCACCGGTGCCACTTAATAAAAACCGCGCTAACTTCAGTTGTTATAAATATATTTGTACTAGCAGAGTACCCGTCCTTCGTATGGGGTTGGCGCAAGTGTAAAATGCTTATTGCAGTTATACTCTAACTTAGCGTTTGCAATGGGAGAGGACACAATTTGACTAAATTTGCTTCTTTAAATTTACAGTATACTAGTATTACACATCTACCATAACCATAATCTTATACCAATTTACCTAAACAATAGATACAATTTTTTTTTAATTTCGCAAAATATCACAAATTATTTACGCAATTAAAACATAAACATAACTGTAAACAATCCTACTTTGACAGTTTTCATTCCCTATCACAGTTTTTTGTTACTGCTTAGTTGAAATTAGCTGTTTTCATAAATGCAAAAAAATAATAGTGCTACACCCTGTTGGTAAATCTTATAACTTTTTAATACTTTTGCATATCATAGAACCAACTTTTTTTAGTTGAAACAGCTGACTAAATTCTTTAATTCCCTTTAAATATGAATACTCATAAGGTTAACATGGGGAACTACAGAGCCACTGGGGCGGAGCCCAAATGGATTTTTGAGATAAGAATATGCCCATCTGTTAATCGGGAATATGAGCTATCATCATGCCAAATTTCAGCCAAATCCGTCCAGTAGTTAATGCGTGATTGAACTTCAAACAAACAAACAAACACACAAACTTTCACATTTATAATATTAGTAAGATAGGATGATATTATAGGTTTATATATCAATATATATATTGGTGATAATCATTTCGATATAAATATCGCATTTAATTTAATTTTACCATATGATATAAAAAAAAACAATAACAAACACATTTAGGTTGTCAAAAAACACCGAATGAAAATATCGCATTATTTCAATCTATATATCGTTTGGTTAGTTAGGTTAACCTTACATAACTTACCAAACGATATATAGAATAAAAAATCGATATATTGAATTATTTTTCATTCGGTGGTTTTTGACAACAGATACGGAAGTGTACCAGTTATTTCTTATTACGAGACTAAAAAGTGTTGTTCATTACATGTGTTGGACCTGAGCTACAGATCTATATATAAAGCCAGAAGTACCCATGAACTTTTGAGAAAACTACAAGTCGCACCCCCATAAACCATATACTTAAAATGTTCGTCATGGCGAGAAACCTTGCACAAAACTATAATCCATTATTTCATAAATTGCCCTTTAAGGTCGTAATTGCTTTCCAAAGGGAACTTTCCATTTACCTAATGTTAAAAATACCTCAGTTGTTATTATTTGTTTGTATTACCATTACTGTATTCTGTTTTGTTTATTTCAGCTTAACTTAACCAATCAATATTTTTATTATTAATACTCATGTAGTAAAACGGGGTGGAGCCCGTGGGTAGCAGCTAGTTTCTTTAAATCTTTAAATGATTAATAACATTTTTGGCAAGACTTGTTGATGAACAGGTGCTTGCTTCCTGTCAATGTTGTTGAACAATTGTTCTCATATTCTTATGAACAGATTGTAAAATAAATTCTGATAATAAAAGAAAAGTTTTTAGTGTTTTACAGTTGTTTCTTTATTTTTATCCCTAGTTTTATTTTTGACTATCAATACAACAATAGTCTTCAGTATCCAATAGTCAATGGTTTTATTTTAAACTTTATTGTCATTTACAGTCGTATCTGGCTCAGTATGGATACCTCCCGCCAGACGATCCTGAAGGCCCCAGAAGTATAATCTCTGACGATAAATTCTCCAACGCTATCAGGGATTTCCAAAAGTTCATGGGACTAACAGTCACTGGTAAGTGGTTTAAGAACGAAAATGTCACAATAAAATATAGTAGTAAGTACTAGAGTTATCAGAAATATTAGACTAAAAGACAGAGTTCTTGTAGTATAGGACACAATATACTACTTTAATACTTTAATAATCCCGGTTAATTATTCCGCAAATGGGATTTGTACCATTTTGTACAGAATTCAAAGGGCTATAACATATTAAATTTTTATCAGAATCGTTCGGGTCAAAGGTAGGACGTAGTTTGGTTGTAAGGTGTTAATTCAGAGGGGGGTAAAATCCGAGGTGGGCCAGACAGAGCGGACTGCGCGCGATGACGTCACTGCAGTCCCGGCCGCGGCCGCCGCGCTGCTAGATACATGCTAAACGCACAAACCTTACTTTTTCAGACACGATTTAAGCTGATTTGGAGGAGGTATTAATGGAAGTATAAATGGTGATCAAAAAGTAGTTTGGTTTAAAAAAAAAACATTTTTTTTTTCAATTTTACTCTGACAATCCATGCTTTTACGATGTTTCCTGCAAGCAACATATCCGTACAAACGAACAAACGTAAGTTAATAGAACATAGAATGAGCTGTAGGGTTCTGCATGCGAAATTGAAAATTATGTTTAAATATGTATCTAATTTTATTAGTTGATACTTGTACGTAAAGGTTGCAAAGTCATAAACATGTATTAAGACAAAAAACTGATTACCAAAACTGTACTTTTTCTGTAGGGAAAAATATTATGGTTACTAGACGGTTTGAAATTTTGAATTTGATCAATTTTAAAATTGTTTTCTTTTCAGGGGAGCTAGATGATGAAACCAAAGAGCAAATGGCAAAACCACGTTGTGGGGTAAAGGACAAATCACCTCCAAATCCCGATGGCCTTAGCAGCTACGAGTTGGGAGGTAAGTCGCTATGTTAATCATTTATTGCATTTGCCAATGTTTTACTATACTTACTGCAATGGTAATCACAAACAATTTAACTATATTTATTGTAAACAAAGCTTTACATCTTTGTTTAATTAATAGTTATTTCCTCGACATAATTGTTCCTCCATTACGTAACTAGCTCCTAACCCTTAAACTGGAATTGGAAATAAAAAATATCGATCGACACATAAGATATTTTCAAATACATTCCACGTTTACACAAAATTCATCTTCGTGTTACCAGGAAGCAGATGGAAAGTGAGGACTCTGTCTTACAAGATCTCCAAATACTCGACCAGATATCCTAGAGGAGAAACAGACCGAGCAATTAGAAAAGCCTTCAATCTTTGGTCAAATGTGACTCCTTTAAGATTCATAAGGAAAAGAAGAGGACCTGTCCACTTTGACATCAGGTCATTGATTTAATTCCATCATTAGATTAAAAGCAATGACGGTTAAGTCTTCTTTTTCTTGTAATAAGTAAAGTGATTATTACCGATAGTCAGTTACATCTCACTCTTATTAATGTTACTACTAGGGATTGTGTTGTCCAAGCTAAAAACTCCACGTTGGTTTTATCACTAACATTTTGTATGACTCAAACGCAGTATATTTTTTTACACCTATTGGTAGTATGTTTAGCTCAGGATATAAACCTGTATCACCAATTTTCCTCAGTCAAATGAGTTTAAATCTTGCAAATTCGATGATGCAAGCTTATGGTGTGTTGTTTAAAATATTTTAACACCTTTTTTAGGGCGGGCTTATGCCTTTGTTGTTTTCCTTATTTTAATCAATTATCAATCATTAAGATAGGGACGCCACCTAGGTGCGTATTTTAACCCAAATTAGTGAAGGATGAGTGCAGACTGTTGTGAGATGATCCGTGTAGCTTTGTTACTGACTCAAATCTCCTGGTTCATTTAGTCAGGATCGTTGATTTAATGATCAGGAACAGCTGGGTCCAGTTCCGATTCATCAAAAAGCAACATATTTTTCTCAGGATCGGTCCGACAACCTCGTGATTGTTAGGAGCTACCCAGCCAGAAATCGCATATTCATAGAACAATTAATTAACAACAATGTTTATAAGTTTATTTGAAATTAAAATTTATGTTTTGCAAATCATTTGTTTTAATGAATTTGGTATGGATTATTATCTAAAATATTTCCTCTCTTAGAGTTTTAAACTATGTGATATCCTAACAAGCACATACCAGAATTATCCTTAGCTGAATACCCTATACCTACTTATTGTTATTTGTGTAGTACAGTAGCTTGAACTGCAGATGATATTGATAGTGAAATTACTACTATTTAGTTATATAAATTAAATTGAACCATTATTCAAATTAGTTCGATTATTTTTCGCTCTACTAACCCATATATAATCAAGTTTTGTTTCTTTTAGATTTGAACAAGGTAAGCACTATAACGGTGACGATCCCTGTGTTAAGTTTGATGGCAGATTCGGTACTCTAGCCCACGCTTACTCCCCCATAAATAGGGGAAGGATACACTTCGACGACGCTGAAAACTGGAATAAAGATTCTGAATCAGGTATTCTATTATGTACTTCAGGTATTTATTTTATTCAGGTATATTATTAGGTATTATTCTTCTCAATAAAAGGGGGGACTATTATGGGACACCTGACCTGGTATAATATATTATATAGTATAGTGCTATAGTATGTCGTCTTCAGTATCCAAAAACAGTTGGCAATACCGCAGTGGGGAGTTCACAACAATTAATTAACACAAAGATATCTATTTGAACTCGAATTTAGAAAGAAACTACAATAATTGTAATTTCTCACAATGTTTGTTAAAGAACCTGTCTGTCTAATAAAGGGTTTATTCGTAGCTTTGTTCTAAACTCATTACTATTTCACGCAGGAGTCAACTTTCTACAGGCGGCAGCTCACGAAATCGGCCATGCTTTGGGGCTTGAACATTCCGATATAAAATCAGCACTTATGTTTCCCACGAGCTCATATCAACCAAATGTTCAACTCCACCAGGATGACATCACAGCGATACAGGTAAAACTTTGAAACTTGAGAATTTTATTGCATTTTATTTTAGACTAGCTATTAACCACGGGCTTCGCCCCGTTTGACTTCATAAGTAGGCCTATTAATAAGACTATTGATTGCCGTACCGGTTTGGGTGGCATTTCGAAAGGCGTTTAATGGTTACATTGGTTGGACTTAATTAGCTGTCAGGGCAGAGCCCTAGGAGAGTATTAAGATGTAAGATGACAATTTTAACTCATCGATGTATGGTGAGCCTCTGGTTATATTGGCTTTGTATAAAAAAAAAAAACAGCTCTATCGGTCAAGTAGTTTTTCATGTTATTGATATTCCCCAAACATGCATATCCATAATATTAGTTCCTTCCATCCAAGTCATTGGCTTGATCAGTAATGCACTAAAATTAATTATTGACACGCTATTCCGTTTCCTAGAAATTTCTTTGGGCTAAAACAAACACAATATTTATTTTTTATTTTTATTGGAAAATAATAAAGTCAATAAGTAGATGAATTGTGAATTTAAAAAATAAAATCGCCCTATTTTCACAATACTGTACCACAAATTATTTATTAAATTAGCAACCCAAAACATTATTGTAAACAAGTTACCAGTTCTCAATGTGTATCACAGATTGGTGCTGCTTTTAACTGTTGTCATAAATTCAAACAAAAAATTAACAGTGCTGCACCGTGTTGGTTCAAGGCCCCACTAGAAAAAAACTTTTTCTAGTGGGGCCTTGATTGGTTTAAAATGCTATTGGACATCACAGAACCAACTTAACTGAAACAGCTGTTAAGATGCATTAATTCCTTAAAAAGATGAATACGCATAAGGTTAACATGGAGAATTCCAGAGCCACTGGGGCGAAGTCCGAAAGTCAGATCAGAATAAACACTACTTAGTTTTCCTATTTAATGTCTAAAGAATCAGATTACCAAATTTCAGCCACCTAGGGAAATGGGAAGTAGGACAATTAGTGATGAGTGAGCGAGTAAGTGAAAGTGAGTCAGTGAGTTGAAGTGAGTAAGTCAGTCAGTGAGTCAGTCAGTAGCCGACATATTCCGACATTGTCGGCTACCGATGCAGTGTTCAATTATCAAGTATCAAGTAGCTTTGCATTTTATATGTTTGGGTAGATAGATGTTGCCTCTGCCCCTGCAACAAAAAATATATATTCGGGTTTTAGTCAGGTAGAAAAATTAATCATGTTTTCTATACGATGAGGTTAAGTTAACATGTTAAAATAATATGAATTTAAAATGTCAACTTTGTTATTTAAATGTATTTATCTTGGTAGTTTAAATCGTATATTGTTCGGATAAAGTACTTTTGTATTCGGAAAAGTTCAACACGGTTTTTAATCAAGCGGGTAAAAATCATAGACTCAGTAGATCTGTAGCTTTAGTGATCACAAGGTGTATATGATGATGTGGTAGGCTAAAATTTTTAAGTTGTGGTCCTTGTAAAACGTAGACTGTAATTGCCAGAATAGCAGATCAAGACATATACAAATATTTGAACCAATGGCGTGACAAGGCTCAGCGCTTTTTATTCGTCTTGGGTCCATCGAGCTATATTGATTTCACAATTTCTTAAGCGTTGTGCATATTTTCGATGGGTTATGGGTTATAAGTTTATGGGCATGAGTTAATCATTTATGCTTCATGTTTCAGCGCCTCTACCCAAATTGAGTGCTGGATTCCACACACTAACAACAGTGATAGCAGCTTAGGATACCATGATGAACCAGTATCTTTCCTACTTGCAATCTTCTATTATTATCAGCAACAATGTTGAATAGCAAATACATTTTTGTAAAAATTTTTACGTAAATTTATTAAACTAAATAAAGTACTTTGTACATATCTATATCCCTGATACCTTCTATATCTCGATAACCTTATAACTAATGGTAGAATACAAAACATATAGGTATTGAAAATTCTCACAAAAACTGAATATCTGTTGCTATTATAAAGCAATGTACTATGTAAATGTCGTTTAGCATACGATCACGCCACACCAACATGAGAAACTTAGCACAGGTCCGAGGACAGATCCCTGAGGAACTCCGCAAGTGACGATGTCCCGAGAGGAGACGAAAGGTCGAGCACACCCAGTGCCGTCAACTCCTCTGACCTCAACTAATTGCTCCCTTTTTCGAAGGTATGAGGAGAACCACCCCTGTGCCAGCCCCCTCACTCCAATAGATTTAAGTTTATTGATGAGCAAATCTTGATTTACAGTATCAAAGGCCTTGCACAGTCCAAAGAAAATCCCTAAAGTATTCTCTCACGAGTCGAGAGTCCGTAAAACCTTTGTTATAAGGGTAAACATTGCATTGGTGGTTTATTTCCCTTTTACAAATCCAAATTGGTTTTAAAACGTTATATTATTTTTCTCAAAATTATATTAATCATGTTATTACTGTTTTTTCAAACATGTTTGAAATGGTTGAAACTAGAGTGATAGGTCTGTAGTTATAGCAGTGGTTGGTTTGCCATTTTTATACAGTGGTTTCAGAACTGATATCTTTCATAGGTCAGGGAACGAACTGTTGACTACGTTGGTTAGGGGCTTTGCAATAAACGTCCAATCTGGGTAACATTTTGTCCGCCCCCGAGGATTTATTTTTTTAAATTTGATAAATTATTCTTAAAATCTCATTTTTGTTTGTTTTATGAAGAAAAGACGAATCCCTTACCGAACTTATGGGATTTATTCATTGAACTCCTTTGGACATGTTGCCAACGGTTAAGAAAAATATAGCCTATTAAACATCTCCACATCAGCAGTTGGATCGCTTACCATTTGACCAATATCATAAATACTCTTAATCGGTTTATTTCCCTTGTCCTCACATTTGTTATTCGTCTTTATTGTTTGCCATATTGATTTGGATTTGTTGTCAGAGCCTTTGATAATAAAATAATAGTTTACATTTAAAGATAACCTCTCAAAACTACTTCTTACTTGTGTTCTATTTAATTTGCTAATGGAAACAAGCAGATGTTGTGAGTAAGTGGTTCAAACAGTATATTCGTCTATTGCGATCGTGTAAGTGTACATCATACTATCGATATCAATCAATCAAATATCAATTATATTAATTACTAGCAGAGGACCCGTTCTTCGTACGGGGTTGGCATATAAGTATAAAATGCTTATTGCAGTTATACTCGAGCTATGCGTTTGCAATGGGGAGGACACAGTTTGATCAACTTTGCTTCTGTAAATTTGCGGTATACTATATTATTACACATCTACCATAGCCATAATGTTCTACCGCTTCACCTAAATAATAGAAAATAAACGGTATCAGCATTCTGACACATACTTTCTCCCATAAGTTTGTCAACAACCTTTATCATGCGTAAGCGGTGAGAGTAAATATACGGAAATAGGATTTATACAATTTTGTTTACAATTTAAAGGACTACATACTAAATTTTTATCAAAATCTATCGGGCCATTTTTGTGAAAATCGGATTTTTCCGTTATTTTATGGGGTTATATGGGAAAATAACATAATTTACAATAAATCACAAATATCACAATTTATTCATGAAATTAAAAACATAAACATAACTGTAAACAATCCTACTTTGACAGTTCTCATTGCGTATCACAGTGTTTTGTTGCTGTTTATTTCAAATTAGCTGTTTTCATAAATGCAAAAAAATAGTGCTGCACCCTGTTGGTAAATCTTTTAAGTTTTAATGCTTTTGGATATCATAGAACCAACTTTTTTAGTTGAAACAGCTGACTAAATTCTTTAATTCCATTTAAATGTGGCTACACACACATAAGGTTAACATGGGAACTACAGAGCCACTGGGGCGGAGCCCGAAAGGATTTTTGAGATAAGAATATGCCTATATGTTAATCGGGTACGTGAGCGATCATCGTGCCAAATTTCAGCCCAATTCGTTCAGTGGTTAAAGCGTGATTGAACTTCAAACAAACAAACAAACAAACACACAAACTTTCACATTAATATAATAATAGTAAGATATAAGATGGGAACACCACTATGTGCGGAGTGAAGGATGAGTGGAAAACTATTTACAATAAGCCAATAATTAACTACAATCGATAAATGCAATTTTGTTTACAATAGATATTTACAACTGAGTTGACAACAGCTGATTTTTACTCCCTAGGGGCTAAAAAACCCTTTTTACTCCCTAGAGAGTAGAAATGCTACTTTAGACGCATGCATCAAAAACGGCTGTTTTTGCTGTGGTAAGCGCTGAACCCCGTTTGACTTCATAAGTATTAATAAAGTATTGATTGGTAAAGTTAAGGTGAAATAAAACAAAACAGAATACAATAATAAACAAATAATCACACATAATCACACCTGATTTTAATAAGGTAATAAATTGAAAGAATAGCATGCAAATAAGTAAAGCTGAGGTATTTTTAACATTAAGTATATGGAAAGTTCCCTTTAGAAAGGAATTACGACGAATTAAAGGGCAATTTATGAAATAATGGATAGTTTTGCGCAAGGTTTCTCGTCATGACGGACATATAAAGCATATGGGGCGTGACTTGTAGTTTTCTCCAAAGTTCATGGGAACTTTGGGATTTATATATGGACTAGCAGAATACCCGTCCTTCGTACGGGGTTGGCATATAAGTATACCATGCTTATTGCAGTTATACTCATACTTTGTGTTTGCAATGGAAGAGGACACGGCTTGAGAAAATTTGGTTCTTTTAATTTACAGAAGCTATAGTATAACACATATACGATAGCCATAATGTTCTACCACTACACCTAAACAATAAAAAAGGAAATTATCGAAGGTTCGCACAATATCAAAAACATATTTATAAATTAAAAACATAAACTTAACTGTAAACAATCCTACTTTAACATCTCTTATTGTGCATCACAGCCTTTGTTGCGGCTTGGTTCAAATTTGCTATGTTGTCATAAATTAAAATATACGGTATCAGCATTCTGACACATACTTTCTCCCCATAAGTTTGTCAACGACCTTTATCATGTGTAAGTGGTGAGAGTAAATATACGGAAATGGGATTTGTACAATTTTGTTCAGAATTTAGAGGACTAATCCATACTAGTTACATTTTTATCAAAATCCTTCCGGCCATTTTTGGGAAAATCCTATTTTTCCGTTATTTTATGGGGTTTTATGGGAAAATCCCCATTAAAAATCTGCATTTCTAAAAAATTAAAAAAAAAAACTATCAAAACGGTAAGGACCATAACATACTATGTTAAATCAAAACCGGATTTGTTTAGATAATCCTATTTTTCGTTATTTTATGGGTTTTTTAATGGGAAAATAACATAATTTACTATAACTTTTGAACCGTAATTTTTACAGAAATGGGATTTGTACCATTTAGTTCAGAATTTAAAGGGCTACAACATACAAAATTTTTATCAAAATCGTTCGGGCCATTTTTGAGAAAATTAGATTTTTCCTGTTTTTATGGGAAAATCCCCATTAAAAATCAAAATTTAAAAAAAATGAAAAAATGCCTGGAGATACCATGGATTAGAACCTACATACCAAATTTCATCGAAATCGGACCACAGGTGTAGTCCCTAGCTCTGTACACACACAGACACACACACACACACACCCACAACAGACATCACTTCGAAAAGCACTTTTTTGGGTCCAGGGGGACTCAAAACGAATATATCCACTCAAAACTCAAACTCGAAAATGTTGACGAAAACAATACTTTCTCCATAGGTACTATGGTATAGGGGGAGAAAGTAAAAATTAATAGTGCTGCACCCTGTCGGTGAACCTTATAACTTTTAATAATATTGAATATCATAGAACAACTTGTGTAATTAAACAGCTGACAAAATTCTTTAATCCCTTTTAAATATGAATACTCAGAAGGTTAACATGGGAAACTCCAGAGCCACTGGGGCGGAGCCCGAATGGATTTTTGAGATAAGAATATGTCTATATGTTAATCGGGAATGTGAGGTTTCATCATCCTAAATTTCAGCCCAATCCGACCAGTAGTTAAAGCGTGATTGAACTTCAAACAAACAATAAAACAGACAAGCAATCAAACAAACAAACAAACACACAAACTTTCACATTTATAATATTAGTAAGATAAGATAAGCTTTTAATGAATAGATGAAATTCTAATTCAAGTTAACTTACACCAAATGTTTTCACAATGTGTCTTTCACGTTTCACTGCAACTAAATAACTGTATTGAATCTTTGTCAAATCCCGACATCAAAAGTACAATTTTCCCTTATAACATTTGATGTGTTGTAGGGGACGGCACTTGCCTTTACTATCACTTTATCATTTATGAAAGCTATTCAAGAAAGATCTTCAGAGGTTCTTGTTCGTAATATTAGGGTTGAACGTTGTTTCCATTATTGGGAAGAAGATTAATGTCATATAGACTACGAAAAAGGTCAAAATCATGTAATGGCAGATCAGTATACCGCTGATGTAATACGAGTTCAAATGTTTGTGGATTATGTGCAGTAACAGCGGTAGGAGGGAATAAAAAATATTTTTGTATTGTTTTTTTGTGGTGAACGCAACAATTTTGAGATGAAAGAAATCAAGTTGGAAGAATGAATTTTGGAATGCTGGAGAGTTCCAAGAAGTAACTTATGTGTGTACATTCCACTTGGTTAAAACATCCTATATAAATAAATGTTTTGCTAGGTGACGAGCTATATTCGACAGAAATAGCATTAAAAAATCAATCAATCAATTCAATCAATTATTTAAGATAGGGACACCACTATGTGCGTATTCTAACTCAAATATGAGTGAAGGAAGAGTGTAGAATAAGTGGCGCGATCTTGTAGTCTTGTTATTATAGTGACTAAGGCCGACATGTGTTATAAAATCGAAAATCTTTTATTTCGAAGAAAATAGAAAATGTTTACAAAAAAAAATGTATACAATAGAAATCAGTTTTAAGATGTATAGCTAAAAGATAAAAACGAAATTAATCCCACGTTGGATAACCCGTAGTGTTCCTTGAAAGGCCATACAATCATGCAGTGGCAACTAAGGGATACAGTTTATAGTTTCAATCCTAAGTGAAAGGAGTTACAGTGCGGATATTATTTCGGTCAAAACAATTGTGTAGGTTAATCCAGAATAAATAGGCTGAAGTGATTAGTAATCCTGTAAGAGAAGTTATCCATTAGTTTAACTTCAGTAGTTACATACATATGATTTTGTGTTTTTACGCCAGTGGATTTTTTTTACGTTTTGAAAGGGAACAGTCCTAACCCTGGTCTTGTTAACGATGGCCTTTTTGTTATATTCATAGTCCAATGACAAATGGCATCTGAATCTGAAAACGATCTCGCATGGATTCGAACCGGGCGACCTTCAGATTTGAAGGCGAGCACATGTTAAACATTACCGATTGTAAATGGATTGAAGTAATAAAATTACATTTAGTTTTTTAATCGTATCCGTAATATTTTTATTACTATTTCTCATCAGATATAATACTTTTGCTTAAACTGTTAGCAACGCCGCGACGGTTTATGCTTGTAATACTATAAGTAAGAAGTCGAGTAAGATAAGATTACAACACATCAAATTAACGCATAAGTGTTTGGGAATGCCATAATATTATCAAAGGGGTTTTCAACTGATTTTTCCGGGGTCAAAGTTAGTGGTATCGGTATCTGCATAAGATATATATAAACTTACAAACTTAAAACTGTAGTCAGTCGCTCGATGCTGCTTTTTCATTAAAGAAGGTCTCAAATTATTTTTTTCAAAGTCATATTTTGAAGTATTAAACATGTTCGTGTCGGTTTACTGTAGTGTTTTAACAGTGTTTATGTTAGTTTCGTCAGGTAACTCGGCTCCCGCTGTGGGACACACTCAAGACAATGAGGAAGACTCGCTGGATGCACCAGTGAGTATTACGATTGAAACAGTTTCGATTTACTTAGGGTACTTTGGGAAATAGTATGAAACATGTATTTAGATAAGGTATTTAAAAATTACTTGACATATTTTCAAAGTATCTCAAATTTATTTAAAATACCTGTTGATTGTTAACGAACTAATCCTCTTGCAAACTCTACATGAATGAACAACGACAAAACTGTACACGTGTATAAGGGTGGAAAAAAGTCCCGGGACGGTTAATTTCAAAAAGTAATAAAGATAGAGTTTCAAAACTGGGTACACAGCAGTTAGTGGGAATTAAAATAGTTTTAACACACTATTCAGTGACGTGCTAATGCACATAAAATTAAATGTCTTTGTTAGTAAAATACAATGCCGCAAACCCGAGATCAAACGAAAACTGATACAAAAATGACAGCTATTCAATGAAGCATTGAATTTGCATCGCTATTATACACTACCTCCTCAGGGAGGCGCCCGCTAGAAGTTGGAAGAAAACCATAAACGTATGCATAGGTTGATATGCACATCAAATTAAAGGTCTTAATTCTTAAAATACAATGCCACAAATGTGAGCTAAAATATAGCAGCCGTTTAAATATTCAAAATGGCAGATTTAAGATATCTTTATACGGCTACCATTTTTGACTCGGTTGACGTTTTGAGTTCAGATTTGCGGCATTGTATTTATTAGTAAAGAACTTAAATTTGATATGTTTATTTAACCTATGCTTACATTTAAGATTTTTTTCCGATGCCGTCTTCCTGAAGAGGTAGCGCATCACTAAATAATGTGTAAATTATTTTAATTCCCAGTAACTGTGTACCAAGTTTTTAAGCTCTTATCTTTATTACTTTTTGAAATTTTTAACAGTCCAGGGAATTTTTCCGTCCTGTATATTGCAGTTATATTTAATTTTTCCCGAGAAACGAAAATTTCCCCTGTGGATTTTTACATAAGAGCTTTATTAAACATTGTGTATTTATTCAATTAATTCTCCCAAAAATCTGGTAAATATGTTGAGTACTTTAGATAAGAGGGGAGGATGACAGCTTTCTTTTTCAATTAAATTGTAATTTTAGATAATTAAAATACGATTTTATACTATGGATTTATAAAAAATTACTGCAATTACAAAGTTGTTCTACAAGAAAGATTTGTAAGCTAAAAAAAATGCTCATTATTGAGCTAATCTGATGATAATATATTTCATCACTATTGTGTAAAGTGACTCTTTACACCCCGAGGTCAAGTTTTACGATCGTGGCGAAGCCGAGGTCGAAATATGAGTGAGGATTGAAAAGACACTTTTAGCGAATTTCCCTATAGGGAAGTAGCTATTACCGTAGGTCTCATGGTAAGACTTAGGCCCGGGACCGATTTACTTTTTCATTTTGATGTCCCCAGAGGCCAAAAACACCATTCGTTCAAATTTATATATATGTATATATATATATATAGATTTGTATATATATGTGTCCGTGAACACGATAACTTGAGTAATTTTTATCCGATTTTGATGAAATTTGGTTTGAAGGTGTAAGGCGGGATAAACTTGAATGAGTTCGCGATCCAGCATGATCGGACCATGGGAACAGGGTTTTATGGGGGGTTTTATGAGGTAAAAATTGGTTTTTCTCACTTTTGACCCTCAAAACACAAAATTTCCCAATTTTTCTCTAAACCTTCTTAAAGAACTTAAAAAAACAAACAATTCAGTATATCAAAGTGTTTTTGTACGGTTATTGGTTACGGAGAAAACTAAAAAATTGTAAATTTAAAATTCCCATGTTATTCTTATGGAGAATATTGTAAAATGTTGTAGTTTGCTTGTTTATGGATATCTTTTGTTCAAACTTGGCAAATATATTCATTTTCTACTAAGCAATAATTATTTTACTTAAAACACAAACTTTATCAGTTTCCTTGTAGCAGCAAACCTAGGTACTTGTTAAACCTAATGTTATTTAAATAGCTCGATTGAAAATCAATTCAGCCAAATGGAAATTCGCTTAGACGGCAGGTTTGCTGCGGCGGGGGTATCTTTTTATTATTACTGTAAATTAAGTGCTTGAATTGATAATCGACGTTATAAGATTCCTCATTGTATTGTTGTATTGGATTGCACTGTATATTGTATTCAACCCGTACGTAGAACGGGTACACAGCTAGTATATCATAAAGATATTGGGGTCTTCCTGTGCTATTTCTAGATTTTGACCATAAAAAATGGTGATGGTAAAATGTACTGCACTAAGTATGCCCACTTAGTGGGCATATACTTACATAATACCTTTGGGTATTAATATAAGTATGAATAATCGGTAAATACAATATGAAATTAATAAACAGTTTAGGTAATAAAGAATATATTGTAATGATATAAAAGATTAAAGAACAAACTTATGTTAAATCATTTGACTATAAGCAAAATAAACGAGTGGTTTATACTAATTAACATCTTCACAAAAATGGTTTGCCTTATTTCAAGAATGTTTGTTCAATGAGTGTTGGTCCTTTCTCTTCTACTTCCGTATTCAGACATGTGAGGCCTTCACACACCTTGCATAGGTGTGTGCGTGCAAACACAGATAATATAACCCCTACTATTGTTAGTAGGGTACTATTGTTAGTACCTTGCGTGAAAATAGGGGTTTCTCATTTTTGGCCCTCAACCAAACATAGGCCCTCAATTTCTGTTTAAAACTTTTAATATATTGATAAAACAAATAATGTAGTATATTTAAGTTTGTTTTTACGATTATTGGTTACGGAGATTCAATAAATTGTTAATTTAAAATTCCTATGTTATTCTTAAGGAGAATAAGTCAATTTTTTTCAGTTTATACAGTGTTAGCAAAATCGGAGTGTCGATGGAGACAAGGTCAAGTCCCTTCAAACGCACGCACCCCCACAGGTCTCCGACGGCACGTTTTGTTAACACTGTATTGTATATTTCCATCAAACTTGGCAAGTGTATTTACTTTAAACTAAGTTATTCACACTCAACTAAAGAAAACACTATATTACCCTCCCTGTAGCAGCAACGCTAGGTACTTGTTAAACCTAGTGTTATTTAAAAATAAAACAGATTTAATTGAAACTCCAGTCGGGTAATTAGAAATTCGCTTAGTCTGCAGGTTTGCTGCGGCGGGGGTATTTGTCCGTATGACGATCTATATTTTTCGTCATATTGCATCATTAATTAACAAACTAAGGTAGGCCTATAAAACTAAAAACAAACTTTTCATGTAAACTCTAAACTAACTTCCAGCTTGTAACTAATTCTGCTAATGTAAGTAAGCAGCTCTTTAGTAAGTGATTCAACCATTTCGTCAATTACGATTGTGTTAGTGTACATTATCGATATGTCGAACTATTGACATTGAGTGGAAAAATGAGCTAAATCCTAACTTAATAAATCAATCGATAAAATAATTACAATCCATACGATTGATTACGATAGAACCTTTTTTTAACTAATCTTTAACTTCCTAGGGACTAGAAGGGCAATGCTACTTAGTCCCACAACACATGTATTAAACACGGCTGTTTTTGCTGTATTACAACGAAAAAGGATTAAATAGTTATTTTTAACATACATAGATAAAAACTATGTGTTTATATTTTAAAACTAGTCTTAAACTTGCCTAATTTCAAGTAGTTAATTGTTGCACCATAATATTTAATTCAATTTTACAGTCTTACCTGGCAGAATTTGGTTACCTTCCGCCATCCGATCCCAATGGTCCAAGCCAAATCATAGCAGCCGAAACTCTAGCAAAGGCCATAAGGGAATTCCAAACCTTCATGGGACTTGAAGAAACAGGTGAGCAGTGAGCAGAGGAGTTATCATGTCGGTCGTGCATTAATTGCACCAAAGAGTTCCTTAATTGCGCTAAGCCCTCCAAGGGTCCCAAATATATTCCTTAGTTGCGCCAAGCCCAAGCCAGGTAGGGGTGAATTGCTGGAAGAAGCAATGCCCTTGTTTACGTGTCATCCTAACCTAACCTAACCTAACCTAATTTGGCCTAACATAACCTATCCTAACCTAACCTAGCCTAACCTACTCAATTATACAGGGTGAATAAAAGGTCAAGACCCCCCCCCCATCTAATATTTTTCCAAGTAAATATACAGAGATATCCTTTTGGGGGTCGTGCAATCTTAGCAGGAAGTTTCATTTTGTGATTTTGAAATTTTTGAGTGTCCCCCCAAAAGGAAGGATTTGGAGGGTAACTCAAATATTTTAAATGTAAACCCCCTTCAAGTGACACCTAATTTTAAAGTGTTTACAAAAACTTAAAGATTGGTGAAAACTAGAGGTCGCTATCTCTTCTCTGACCAAAATGGTAGCCCGTCAAATGTTGTGGAAAATTAATGGTTAATATTGGTTCGTAATGGTAATATTGGCTACCATTTTGGATAGAAAAGAGATAGCGAACTCTGGTTTTCACCATTCTTTAAGTTTTTGTAAACACTTCAAACTGAGGTGTCACTTGATGGGGGTTTACATTTAAAATATTTGAGTTACCCCCCAAATCCCCCCTTTTGGGGGGGACACTCAAAAATTTCAAAATCATAAAAAGAAACTTCCTGCAAAGATTGCACGACCCCTAAAAGGATATCTCTGAATATTTACTTGTAAAAATATTAGATGGGGGGTCTTGACTTTTTATTCACCCTGTATAGTCAAAGAGGGCTGCAACTTGGCTTAGTTAAGGAACGTATCGGGTGGCCTCCTGGAGTTTTTGGCATCATATGTCAATTGTGTTCTCAAACCCCAAATCCTTTCCTATAGTTTCGATGAAGGAAATAGGCCTAGTGTTAATAGTGATTGCCAGGCTATGTTTCTTGAGGCATAGCTTTCACCTTGAAGGTCGATGAGCAAGGAAGAAAGGGAAAATCTTTAATCCATGGGTAGAATCGAAACGGTATAAATTGTTATTAATACTAATTCAATAGATAATCGAGGGTAAAATATTACGAGAAGATTAAAAAAAAATGATTTCCCCAAATTATGTCGATTACTCTGAAAATAAACTAAATGTAAACACTGGTTTCCCAGTTAAGTTTTTCTTAGAGTCGAATTGCAAACCCTTGGAGGTGGATGAATCATTTTTATTCACTTTCACAATCAAAACATTTGACATGGTGAGGCTAATGATATTTAATGTTACCTCCGATTTAGATGCATTTTTTTTAGTTGTTAAAAATTAAATTAAAAGTCATAGGTTATCAAAAAACTTTAAAAATATATAAAATTTAAAAGTATCTATTAGTAAATGGTCAACATCTTTTTTGCTATTGGTGATCTTTATGCTTTTCTTTCTATGGACTAATTAATGCAATTCAATATTTTATTTATAAGTATGAATGATTTGTATCATACCAATTTAATTTTCTTGAATGTTTAGTACCTACCTTTACTACGGCTAAAACTAATTCTAACATACTTTTCTAGGTGCAGTAAAAACAAAAGGTATTAAATAATAAAAAAAAAAAAAAAAAAAAAAAATTCCTTAATCATAGAAGAGTAATTAGAGCGCGGGACTTCGGTCTCGGGCTCAAATCCCGCTCAATCACCAATGGATTTTATCTAAGTGATAATGCCACAACCCCTAGCTCTAGCCTGAAGAAATGAAACAATCCCGTGCACGGGCCTAGCGTCCGAGGACAAAAAATCTTACAACTCCTTTACTAACAATATTATTTACAGCTTTTTATCAAAACAAGCCCCAAACTATGGCAAATGAAATGAAAATGCTTTGGTGTCTTAATTTTGTCATGCAAAGTTAGAGCCATATGTCCCTTTTTACAGGGCCCTTTATAACAGGGATGTGTACTATAGAAGTTTAACCCGAAGATTGAGCAAGCCCATTTTCATTTCAACAAAACTCGAGGCACAAAATGTTAAGTGGAATTTAAAAAAATATAAATCTTGCTTTAGAGAACGATGTCTTGTAATGAAATAATAATTTAAATCACAACATATTATGTGCTATTGATGTTTTAACACCTAAATATTTTGCAGGTGTGTTAGACCGTGAAACCAAGAAACTAATGAAAAAGCCAAGGTGTGGGATAAAGGACCAACCAACCATCAATGGACCCAGCTCATACAAGCTCACGGGTAACATCATAATCATAATCAGCGTTCATGGGTTTTGAAAATACATCTATAAACGTTAATAGGAACATAAAGTCCAGTCTGTTTACTTAGTTAAAAGGAAAATGTACGACTGATCTTTGTTTTATAATCAATAATGGGTTTGGAACTAGTTTTACTGAACATTTCCAGAACCACATTATCAGTTCTGTACTCTAATCTGATTGTGAAGCAAAGAGAAACTAGTTACTCAGACTATTCTAAATCACACAAGTAAGTGTAAATGAATCCTACGGTCATTGTAAATGGAATATTTTTTTCAGAAGAAATTGTGGGGAAATGACAATTGAAAGACTAGACATTAGGTCATTCATAGTTATAGTACTGAATAGGGAGCGAGCTGTTCTAGTGGTCAGAGTGGGGGCTTCGGTCCCTGAGGTCCCTGGTTCAAATCCCACCAAATTACCAATATAAATCTATCTAGACTTTCCATCCAATGTAAAAATTAAAGCCAAGAAAATAGATGAAGTTCAGGGCCATCTCACGAGAGGGTACTAGCATTGACTATGTATTAATAGTCAAAGGTACTAGTGTATTGGGTGAAATATGAATTAAAATTCATGTCAACAGCTGATTGTATCACTTGACACAGAATATTGTAATTAGTTTGAATACCATCTCAACAGATTGCACCACACTTTTTTGCTTCAAAGTTGTACATTGGATGGGAAGTCTTCTCCGTGTATAGTCAATGGTTTTATCTAGCGATGGTGGTGGTCGTGATGTTCCAGTCCAGTGAGCTGAAACCCTACTGGACTGAGGCTGTTTTAGGACTTTGTCTTCCTTAGCCTTCTAAGTGATAATGCCACAAGTCTAGCCTGAAGAAATGTGAAAAAATCCCAGGCTCTTGCGTTCTTGCGTCTATCGTCCTAGGATTAAATAGTACAGAATAATTATCCTGTGAATTTGAGTTTTACTAGTAGTTGAACAGTTGGTTTGGTTATAAAATACTCACAATTGTGTTCATTACATCATTGTTCACAGGTAGCAAATGGAAAACAAACACTCTCTCCTACAAGATCACCAAGTACCCAGACGACTTTCCCCGGGATGAGACAGACAGAACCATTAAGGAAGCCTTCCAAGTTTGGTCGAGAGTGACACCTCTTAAATTTATCAGAAAAACCAGAGGAAATGTACACATCGAAATCAAGTGAGAACCTAACTCTGTATGCCACTTTGCCTTGGCGATCACTATGTATACCGGTCATAGTTTGCGTGGACTATTTGAGAACAAACCATTTTTCGGGGTTTTACTTTATCTTCCTATAAAAAAATCATAAGAGCTTCGGTTCATATACTTCAAATATGTGTCCTTAAACCTAGTTTGGTTGTAATTTTATAAAAAAGTAGTTTTGTCATATTCTGTTCTAAAGGTACGCCTCCGCTTTTTATCTTCATTTGAGAGTTGTAATATCGGGTAACTTGAAGGTCGAGTAAAGCAAGTTAGAGCCCCAGCGTTCTTCAACACTAACATATTCTATAACCTAACCTAACTACAACAAGTACAGTACAGTACACAAGTACAACAAGTACAGTAGTGTTGTAGTACTGAAGTATGTTAGTGTTTGTACACACACAGAAAATTTAAAAGCTCTATTCATGTGCAAACAGAAAATATTATTTTTATTCGTACTTTTGTAAAACTGCGGTGGAATATTTTGTATTTGTTTGTGAAAAGCAGGTTTTATGTTTTAAGTACCAACACTAGGTCATTAAGGGATACCCTGTACATTTCTTGGAAATGCAGACATATACTCTAATTAAAAACACAAAACATAATATTCCAAAAAAATTGTGCTCAGAAAATATTTACTTTTATCTCTTTTAAAGCATTTAATTTAAAAGAAAGATCAAGAATTTCAGACACGGTGGAGATGATCAAGCTTTAATATTACAAACCTAAAAAATAAGGCATTGCTTGGATGTAAACGTATCACTGAAATAATACAATTTTTACGAATTAGGTTTGCTCGAGGAAGGCATGGCAGCTGTGAACCTTTCAAAGGCCCTCTCGGAGTTCTAGCTCACGCTTTCGACCCCATATCAGGAGGAGACATACACTTCGACGACTCCGAGCCATGGACCATCAACACCTACGAAGGTAATATTCAACTAGTTTCATACAATAGTACAAACAGAAAATACAACAAAGTAGAACACATTCTTTTATTGGTGGCTATAAATGCAATGCACGAACAGTGCTTGCTGCCTACTGTTGGAAAGTAGTGATTTCCTGTACTGTTATGGTAAAGTTTTAAATGGCGGATAACACACAGTTATAAACCATACATAAATTGAATATTTTTATTAGGGAAATCAAATGGAATTATAAATATAGATTCAAATAATTTAAAGTAAAGGTAGGAAAAGTCCTCTATTGATAAGTAAGAGTAAAACATAGAACCGTATCTCTTCAACTGGTCCTTTTGATACGTACTCGTTGTCTTTCAAATATTCATTCTCAACACCAAGTAGACTCTACTATCAGGTACTGTGTTTTCACTTTGTTCATGGTGAATTGTACTTTGCAGGCGTAAACCTTCTACTGACTGCAGCCCATGAAATCGGACACGCTTTGGGTCTTGAGCATTCCAAGTACAAGAACGCACTCATGTATGCTTACGCGCAAGGGTACGACCCCAACTTTAGACTTAGCAACGATGACATCAGAGCTATCCAGGTGAGCTTTTACACAAAAATATTCATTCTCTCAAAACGTCAAAGCTCGTCTTTTACAAAGAACACTTAAAGATAATAGTGCATCATGCTACGTAATAGTGGGAATTTTAAACGCAGTACTCTGGACTAAAGACCATTTGGATATTGAAGTAGTACGGATCAGGTGTTGCTAATATCGAAAAATATTTTATTATTTATATAACTAAATAATTTTATAACTAAATATTTTATTCAGCTAGAACATAGTTGATTGATCCACTCACATAATGCACTAGTCTCAGATTCGGGCGTTGTTGCTTAGATAATGTGTGTTACATGAAGGCTGCACTTTAGTTTACTATAACTACATTTAATCGAACATTCATTCGAATAAAACGATCGATTATACCTATAGATATTTTGATTATTTCATTCGATTGTAAATATCCTATCTTTCTGTTTTAATATCTTAAGCAAACGCATTTAAATTACAAATTGACGACTGATCTTGTTTAGGCAAAAACAATATATAAATGGATTAAGAAATGAAACTGCTCTAAGCTCATTAATATATTCATTAATATATTGATTAATGAAACGGTTCTAAACTAACCTAACATAACTAACCGAACTTCAACTTCCTACCATTTCCAAATCCCGTTTGATAACAGAAAATGCATGTGAGGAATATCAAATGGAATTTTGAAAAATTACAGCAAGTTTGGTTAGTTATCTTAGGTTAGTTCAGAACCGTTTCATTAATATAATCAATATATAACTTTTGACCAAAAATACTTCAATATAAACAATAAAAAAAGGAAACAACAAAAATATTAAAATTGAAAACTATAAAATAATGTATTGAAAAATCGAATATAGACTAAAGTGCAGCCTCGTTAAATTTATATAAGCGCTCTCTATCGGTGGCTCAACTCACTAAGTCCAATTTGGTAAACTGGCGACAACTTTAACATAGGAATGGAATGTCTAGTACGACCAATCGTCAATGTTACAGTTATTATTGGAGTTTCGGCCACACGAGATCTTCATAACATGCCAATCAAATTAAAAATTTGTAAATTTAATAAACTGGAATTATATCATGTCTTGACGATGCGATTAAATTGGTCAAAATATCAGAAACATTTAACTTCCATGTTACAAAACTACTTAACCAAAGAATACGTTTACATTGTTTTTAGTTATTTTGATAGTTGCATCAAAGGACTTTTTGCAATTTCTTTTCCATTTGCTTGAATTGTAAATGCTGTTAGTTTTACAGCGAGAAAAGTAATAGCATTGACTATTGGATACTGAAGTAGACTTCCCATACATGGACCAGCTGTAATTAAAAAAGAATGTAGTTGTGTGAGCCAGTCACAGAATGCGCTATTGGGTAAAATTCTATTTTATACCTTATTTCTTGTTTCTGACCAGGTTGACGGGTCATACCAGTTGCTATAACTCATCTTAAGTCATTCCCTAAGTTTGACTTGGTTAAAAAGATTGTGTATTCGGCAGAATTTAGTAATTTAGATCAGCACAATCTTTCGGTGGCTCACATCAACTACGACGATTTTGATAAAAAAAAACTGGCTACAAATTTAACATGGGGATGGACTGTCTAAATAGTCAGAGTGCGCAATGGGTCAATAAAACTCTTTGTACAAGAAACACAACTAGATAAAAGAAACTTGATTTGAAATCAGTCGTTTATTAATAAGTTTGATGTTTCAGCGCCTGTATCCAAATCAGTCCTAGAACTTCTCTCTACGGTCGCCATCAGGATCGAGAACATTAATGTATTATCCAATTTTATAGGTTATTATTAATAAAAACTACTCACTCATGTACTATGTTATAGTTTTATCTGTGATTTTGTAACAAAACTATTTTTATGTTTGATTAAATGTTTTTTTTTAATACCTTATCTGTTTTACAGTTAATTTCAGATTCACACTCCTGTTAAAAGGTAATACTAAGTATATTTTAACTAATTACACTACATTGGATTTACTTTATTGACTTTTTAACAATACTGTAATATATTTCATTACTATGGTATGAAGTTTGGGAAATGAGCAAGGGCTGCTAAAACGTTTGGTCCCCTTGATAAACTGCACAACAAAAATGTGTGTCTTTTGTTTATCTTAGCCTTTAAGTTGACACCCGAATCGCTAACGTTTTGTTTTGCCATACTTCAACTGTTACTGATGTTTTCTAGTATTTAGCATGTTTTTGTTATTTTAAGGGCGCTATATTCGCTGGATTTTTACTCCACAAACGCAATTAAAATTTCAAGATGAATGTACTGATTTCAAAAGTTTTTAATTAGTAAATATTAATTACGAATAATGTTTATTAGTAAAATGTACAATGTGACACATCTATAACACAAAAAATCTAGTACCACTTTGATAATACTTTTACGCCACACTGCACTGTTTTAACGAACTACCTACTCAAGGATTTAGTTAAGAAAACAGCTGTTTGCCGCCAGCTTAATCAAATGGGGTTTCAATACGTACTACTGTACTGTAATGAGTTTTTAGCGGACACCAACTAGCTGTTTATATTTGGAAATGAGTGGTTATAAACAAAAACACAACCTCACTTAAAATTGTTAGTCATTTAGTCGGTGGGAATATATTAGGATGTGTACAGATTTTTTTGTTTTTAAGTTAACTTAGAGTAGTTTGGCGTAAAATATCGTACGTCACTCGTGCAAAATGTGTTTACCGGACTCGTATGGTAATCCCACACTCGACTTCGTCTCGCACGGAAACTACCACACTTTTCCGGTAAAAACCTATTTTCAGGACTAGTAACGTAATATAGGCTACTATTACCAAACGTAGCGGCAAAAATAATTCTTTTGAGATTAAATTCGTCTAAATGTCAATAAGGGAACATATTTGTAGTAATAGACAACTTAACCCGATAGTCGATGATAAACACAAATTGTTAAAATGATACGACACTATTTTACCGTAACCTCTTTATACTACATATAAACTAAACCACAGATGGTATGCTAGTGAATGTAGAATGGTAAAGTCATTGTACGAGATGATCTGTGTGGCTTTGTTACTATTTATTAAAAGCCCACTGATCAAATACATCTGGATCCAGGTTTGATACAACGTCCAGGAAGAAAAATTGAGTTTTTATTGAATATCAATACAATACTTTAAAAATAAAGTAATCTATACTATTATAAAGAAGAGGTGGTGTCTGTGTGTGTGTGTGTGTGTGTGTTTGTATGAGGTAATCTCAAAAACTACTGAACCGACTGGGCTCAAATTGCACACAAATGAAGCTACAGCTCCGAGGATACATATAGAACTATTCCCGCTTCGATATTGTCCTAGGGCTCTGCCCCGTGGGCTTTCAAAAATTTGAGGTGAGAGATTTAAAAGTAAATATTGATTGATGGTATCCATGGTAACAAAGAACAAACCTACAAAGTTTAAAAATGTAAACAAGCAGAACTAACTGTCAAATGAATGTTGATTTCATATTTCCACACAGCTGGTTCAAACATATTAAATACTGCACGAATATTAGAACAGAGAGGGTAAGGATTATAAATTTAAAATAATGATGTCACTAGCCCGAATGTAAACATTATTTGACATTACTTAAATGGAGCTGTCTAACCATATGTTAATATAATTTGAATTTCATTAGTATATGAATCTTTCAGTTACTTCATTTGTTTATGTTTATGATCTATTATACTGAGTCTGTTCTAATATTTGTGAAATGCTGTAATAATATTTTAGAGGGAATAATTCGTTGTAAAAAATTGTTCATGGATATAGGAAATAATTAAGATTCTATAATCATTGCCCTATCAATCTAGGCTCTTATTCTGAGTTTTATGAGGTTTATTGTGATAGTTATTCGTTTACAGTGCAAACCATGAAATACATTCTTTTATTATACCTTAAAATCTATCTTTGGTTTTGTATGGTAGGTAGCATAAATAAGTAATCACAGTAAGATTTAACAAAAACGTACTATTATCAAGTTAAGTAGTACAGTTAAATTTTGTTTCTAAATTTGGCATTTGGAAAACCATTTGGTATGTTTCTAAGAACCAACATTGTCTCTTTTGCATACTGACCCCGATGCAAGGCCCGGGTATAGCTGCTAGCAAATAGAATAGTAGCGCTGATTTGTAGTAGCTGTTCAAATGGCGCTACTAATTGCACCAACGATAACATTAGGTTTAACGAGTACCTAGGTTTTTGCTGCCTACAGGGAGGGCAACGAAGTGTGATTTTAAGGAACATATCATTAGCTTACTATGAAATAAATACATTTGCCAAGTTTGATAAAAATTGATCCATAAACAAGCAATATTACAACAGTTTACTTATCCTACTAATATTATAAGTAAGAAAGTTTGGATGTATGGATGGATGGATGGATGTTTGTGACAAGTAAACGCGAAAAATACTAACGCTAATTTTAACCAACTAGCAACAAAAAGTTGTGGTACACAATGAGAACTTAACTTTTTTTCATGGTTTAGGTGCAGTGGTAGAAAATTAGGGCTATGGTAGATACTGTAGGACACTATAGGATACCGTATAAATTAAAAGACAAAATTTTCTTAAACCGTGTCCTCTCCCATAACTACAATAAGCATTTATACTTATATGCCAACCCCGTACGAAGGACGGGTACTCTGCTAGTTTTCGAGATATTATTCAAATCCCCATAACAAAGTAAATAGTTACCAAGATCGAGGTATTATCAGCCCACCTTTCCTTGGTAGAATTGGGATTTTTACCAAGTAATAAGAATATCTTAGTTTTAAAAGTGGTCAAAAGCATTTTACGACCGTTTTCGTAGAAGGCTGGTCGATTTAAAAAACAGACAGATGTCCGAGGGCCATTTTGACCTTGACAATTAAGGAAATTAATTTTCAGGTATGAGGGATGCACTGAAAAATAAAATAAAATAAGTTTAAATAACACAGGTTAGTTCTTAGAAAAGTAAACTGTTAATACTCATGTAGATATTCAGTATGTCAATAGTAAATGGTAGCAAGTAATTAATCTAGTAATTAATAGCTCTGTCTATTTGCAGTGTATTATAAACTGATGATTCTGTACAAAACACAATATAGTAGTACAGTAATAACAAATGAACATGACTACTAACACAGTAGTAATAGTAAGTAACTCTGACTTAACACTGTATCAACAGTAATTATTGATGACTACTATCACAGTAATAAACTACAGTGATGACTCTGACAACGAAAATAGTACTAATAACTAATTAAACCTATGACTAACATAGTAGTAATAATTAATGGCTCAGATTACTAACACAGTGGTAATATACTCCGAATACAGTACCAACACAGTAGTAATGTAATAACCAATTCATACTTAAGCAGTAGTAATAACTGATGAATCAGAAAGATTACAGAGAAGACTACCTTTACCAGATGGATGAAGAGAAAAGAATTTATTTATAAAAATAAATACCTCTGCCTTAAAAAATAAGGTTGCCAATGACACAGAAAAATAATACACATAAAATATCTAAGGATTATACAGCTATAAGACTATATACAATCATCCTTGTAGATGATTGTAGGACTTGCCTGATGTCTGAGAGAATAGAGTTTGTAGTATATTTATGTATGCAACAAGCGCTTACCCAGCTAAAACCAGGTAATGCATACTAAGTACCATTCTGGCCGTACTTGTGTATTGTTTGTACGTACCTAACTTGGCCAGAACTCATGGTCTAACTATATTCTAGGCGGTGCACCAAAATAATCCAATAAACCTGATAGGTTTAAACCCATTTTATCAGAAATGGGAAAATAACAAGTTACTAATCTAGTTTTGTCAGGCCAGTGCATCAGTTATTTATTTGTCTTCGTCCGTTGTTTCATGCAACCTTCGGAATAAGGAGTTTGAAAAGAACAAACATGAAACATTCTAGTGATATGTCAATGAATAATATAATAATTTGTAGTAAAATTAAATCAATTTAGAAAGTTTTCCAAAATTCCCTGTAAGATACTTTCATAGTGATTTGATAGTTTCATGATATAGATTAGCTTAAAAACTTCCCATTACTTTCTATTTCAATTCAATGTTGATGCAAATATATATAAAGTAAATATAATGTGAAATTACTAAAAAAGTTAGTAAAGAGAGCAATCAAAATTTTCATTCAAAATACATTCAATGATTATTGAATTCTCATGTGTAGCTTAAGGAACAAAATATAAATGCTGTTTGTACTTAAAGCAGATTTATTCTATTCTATATATTCCCAATGGATGCAAAAATAAGATTTGAAATCTGTTCACAAAACTATCGAAAACAGCTTAGTTATGAACATGTAGTATTCTAGTCCATTTTTATCGGGCTTTGTAATAAAACTCAAAAGCCAAAAAGAATACGAGACCAAAATTTACTTTAGAAAAAGAGACACCAAAAATGTAAGCCCACCAGTTTAAAAGGTAATATTTCAAATTTTAAATAGTTAATCAAAGTCAGAAGCAAATTTTAAATTTACCTATGTAAATGTAAGCTAAATTTAGCACGAATGAAAAATAATGTGAAAAAGAAATAAACACATAGCTATATCCAAAAAACTTGGTTACACCCTGTAGTTTAAACCCTGAAAACAAAACCAAAACAGGAGAATTAGTAAAGATATACTCTGGCAGTTTTCTGGATGGTTTTACATTTATCACATTTGTGGAGTGATTAAATATTTAGATTAGTTAACATAAACATGGTAACATAAATGCACAAAAATCATATCAGAATAAATATCCACTTCAAAGAAATGTCGTTTGGTAATCCTCGACAATGATTTTTAAGATTTGCAAGAATTATTTTTATTTGTACACAATCTTGTGAACCCTAAAACTCACATTTCATACATACATTGATCTCTGATTTATAAGTAATAAAACGCAACTTAAATATAACGAGTACGTCAACATGAGTTTTGTAATATGTAACAAACTTTCAATGATTATGGTTGGTTGTAAACAAACATAACCTGACACGAGGTTACAAAATGCGCGAGAAACATCTGCAAAAGACAAACATATAAGTGAATATATATTTTTCTCAAACTACTGATTTACAAACTGGCAGATTTACTTAACTACATACCTTTAACTAGGTGGTAAAGTAAAGTTTTAATGTTGCACTGAATTCTAGGAATTTCAAATTACTATAAAAAGTAACTATGCGTTACAAACATTTTTTAATATATTTTAATACATGGAAGTAACATTTTTAACATTAGTTAATCTCTTACTATTGTAGAATTTTACTTTTATAACACTATTCATTACCTGTAGTAGATAAAAACTTGGTGTCATCACTTAAACCACACGTGTTTAACGCCACCTGTTATAGAAGTTTAAACTAATCCAAATAAATCCGCCTCAAGCTTTTTACATAGCTCAATTATACTGGTTGTATTTCTTCACACTTCAAAGTATAATAACTTTTTCAAAACTTTACCGCGAAAAGTGACACCGGATTATTCCGGTCGTGATTGTAAACACCAAGATTAAGCTTTAGTTAATATATTTGTACGATACATATACTTAAAAGGTGTTAATATCGTGTCTTATCACACCGGAAACTGGGTAATTAATTAAAGTGATAACTAGGTCGGAGCGGCAGAGCACGGGCGGTGGTGTCTGGTGACGGCGGTGCCTCCTCCATGAATGAGACGCGCCGAGCAGCGCCTCAGCGACTCAGCGAGCAGTATCGACCTGGGTAGGTGCGCGGCGACCAGCTCCTGGACTGCGCAGCTCTCAACATGGCCGCCCGAGTCTCCTCCACGGTATAGTCCGGGTCCGAGTGAACGTGTCGGGTGTGTCGGTGAAGTGACCGGGTACGCTGGATCCTCGAGAGAGCGGAGGATCGACCGAGCATGAGGCTCGGCGATCCTTACTTCGACGAGATTAGTGAGGTGGACCGAGGTGGACTAAGGACCTCCTCGGGCGCTAGTGATCGAGGGGATCTGCCCACAGGCGGACCTAACCGAACGAGGGCGCCAGGAATACGCTCCAGGTAAATATACGTCTTGCATAGTGATCTCGCCGTGCTGTCTAATAGCTTCTGACCTACGTGGTGATGTCCACAAGCCTGGCATCCTGGTTACGTAATTGGTCGAAAGGTTACTTTTCACGGGGTGGTTTAGACAGAGCTCCTCGTAGATACACAATCTGAATGAGCTATTTTTCGAATGTATACCTACCACTTAACTTACCAGACCTGAAAAATTGGATCAAAATGAAGTCTCGATGTCCACCTCACGATTCTACTACTCGGTCTACCCAGACGTTCTCACTAGGCCCACCAAGTATTGAGATTTATTTTATTTACTGAATTGTATCTTGTGTAATTGTTGGGTTACGTTATTGGGTTTCAAATAAAAATTAAGTACCAATTTGACATTTCTCAAGTCTCGTCCATCTCAATACAAGCAATGAAGCTAACTGAGCATCCATCTAAATCGCATCCCATGCGATCTAAATCTCTAATCCTGTAGCGATAGAATTTGAAATTGGACCTCAAATAACAATATTTTTATTCTACTTTCCATTTCCCAACTATAGTTTGTCACATATAGCCTAGAAGCGATGAAAACGAATCCCGCTGTTTCTCGTTCCTCTTAGCTTTAGTATGTAGCGAACAAATTGATAAAAATCTAAATAAGTGACAATAAAACAACCTCCAGTTTGCTCTACTGAAACTATTTTCCCTCAGATCTTTGATTGGCACTTGGTTACAACGAGCTCCATCTGACTTTTCCCCTTTTCTTTAAGTATTGACAAATTTGGTTGGGTGAAGCTCCTTCATAAACCTACAGAAAGATGTTTACAGTGAAATATGTATATTGAAGGGTAATTCTGTTGGGTTATCTTCCGTCCCACGTGACCTTGCCCCCCACCACACCCTCTATCTATCTCCCACACACACGTTCACGCCCCACACATACACACACACACACACATTAACAAGTTAATTATTTGATTTTGACGATTTTATAAGATTAACATTATTCTACTACTCGACCAAAATTGTATATAGACGTCACCCTTACGTAGGAGTTTCCAATCGCAATCATCTATATAATCGATTAACATTCAGATACCGGTAACCCCTTATCAACAATACTAGAGTATACTCTAGATGTAGCAGACATCTTGTCTGTATGGACCAGTTGTAACACTCTATATTTGGATCAGCTTACTTTTCGTTTGGTTGATTTATTAGTGTACACCAAGAAAACTTTACAACTCTGCCGGGCTTGATAAAACAATACCATTTGAAACCACTAGGTATGGTTTTCTAAAACAGCGAAATTATTAGCAAATGAAAAATGTCTTCTTAATTGGTGAACTCATTTCAATTAACCTTTATTATTCCACAAGTTTCTTACTGGATGAGGTTGTTTACTCGAGTTTATTTTTTAGAAATTAAGTTAGGTCCCCAGCCTTTAGCTCCCTTTGCACCAAAACCTGATTAAAACAGCTGTTTCTCTTTTAAATTAAAACTCGGGTTTAAGTAGAATGGTTCGTAAACAAAATGCTATACACCCTATAACAAGCAAAGCTAGTGTAATGCGTTTGTGGCTGGGGAAGCTGGTGTTATCTTGGTTTAAGTTTACTTTTCATTCAACTCCAAACCAAAATTGCAATAAAAAGTTCTTTGTCAAAACCCTTCCCTCTAAAACTGTATACATAATCCGTAGTTAGTCCTCTCTAACTGTAATTGTTAACAGTTTGTTTTATATAAAAAGCAGAACACAGAACAGTAAAACTTGATCCGATTTTCTAAAACACTAGAATTACTTTAGGTTAGGGCCAAAACTAGAAATCAACATTTTCGATGTTTCAAATTTATTTCGGACATCACACTGTATCTAAGAGTGTTGAAAATAGACGAATATTATAAATCAAGCTTATGATTAGTAAACGTAAAAAGTTCATCATAAAGCCCACCAAATCAAAGAAATCCAACTGTTTTCTATCGATTTGAGGCCCAAATAGTCCATCTAGAGTAATTAAATTTGTTTGAAACTAACTCGGTTGTATCAAAGTTATGTATACGCTCAACTACTCCCACTATCAACTTTTCTTATAATCAAAGCATGTATAGATACATACTAAGATGGAAAATATTTCCTGTTCAGTAGTAGTTGCATTTAACTCAATCTAAGATCCCTTGTATCACCTATATATTTACATCACTTCCACTTTGCATAACACTTGTTGCACTAATATACAAACCTGCAATAGATAACTTTATTTTGCACTACCCCCAAGTTATTTATTTATTGTATAACAGTTTTGTTTCCTGCCATTTTTATGAAGACACATTTCTGGCATAGTAATAGCAAGAAACTTGGTTGCATCACTCCCTTCTTTTCATTAAATCCTTCACTAAACAAACCAATCATAATGTAAGACTAAGTTACTTTTGTAATCCCGTCACATAATAAATGTTGTCAGATTAGTAGGACGTGTTAAAACACCGTAGTCAGCTTCAAGTACTTGTATAGTTGATCAATTGTCCGCTTTGTTAGGAATAAACACGAATTAAAATAAAAACTAAAAAACATTTCCTACAGTTACCTGACAAAGTGGGCTTCCTTGCACTGATTATAGCATGCAAAGTAGCTAATTGCTGCATTTACCCACTTTTGCCGCACTCATTTTTTGCCGCACTCCAGTATTCCAACCAAACAACACAAAACTGTGTGCTTTTATTAATGCTTTTATTAACGTGCGCACGTACTACGCCTATGATCAGCTGGTGGTAGCGTTTCCAAATTCGTTCAATGTTTGAATTTAATCCAACCTAAAAACGTGTTGTATAGTGCTTGAATACTCGATTAATACTAGCCTTTAATATACTTTAACCCTGATATTAGTCAGTAACAAAGCTCCCATCTCATTCTCTCAATGCTCAGAGTTAATCAATATATTTCATTCTATTGTGTCAATGCCGTAAAAATCTATCAAATCTATTATACTAATGACTTGCTCCATATTTAAATCTGTCCTCTAACTACATTTTTGAAGTCAAGTTATCCCTCACGAAATTCCCAAAAACTATGTGGACCCTAATTTTTGACATATTCGTCCTTATGTATTCCCTTTTTTAGTTAGTTTTCAATTGCAAATACTCAAAAATGCATGCACTGCAGCTCAAATACTGTTGGATTCTAAAATGTAATTCGAGAAGTTGGCTAACTTGTGTGTTAAATAATGTTCTATTCGATGGAAAGATTCCCTATCCCGTTTTGTAGTAGAACGGTAGTAGATTTGGATATGACAACATGTTATTGAGTGTTGTATTTTATATTCATCATGTTAGGACAGGTTGGTATTTTGAGTGTATCACAAAATCGTTTTAGTAATACAGGACAAACCCCTCCTCGCAAGTGCCAAAATTCGAACCGCTACCTGCCCCACCTCAGACCCTAACCATTAAGCCAACACCCCCATTTTTCTTTCATCTCCAAAATTAAAGGGATATAACTATTTCGAACATATTTTTATATAAAAAGACGCGCTGTTATTTTTTATATAAAGACTGCTAAAACGGCACTAAATCTGTTTACATGCACATCTCAATTTTAACTATGCTGTTAACTAATTATGCGATTATCCTAAAGATTTCAGAAATACACTTAAAATATCCTGATTGTTGTGAGTTCTGGACCTGGTTAAACCAAGTGGCCAGTGTGAAATTCTCATTGAATAACATCTCGATAGGGATAATTTTGTAACAATAATATATTTTTGTCTGTTCCCTTACAATACAGGGCAATCCATGGAACAATAGCAATCGGAATATTTTATGAATAGTTATTATTAACTATAAATTATTATAATACGTTCCGGTAGCTCATTTGTATTTACATATAACTAACTAATTCCAAACCACAACAATTATCAATTAACGATTTCGATGAAAACTTGCATTTTGGTAAAGTTTCTTAAATCTTCCTAAATATGATGCATACCTTAGAAAATTTCATTTACTCTCCAAAATTGTTAAAATCAAAAACTGTAGTAAGTCGCATTATTTTGGGTTCCTGATCTTAAACTGAATTATTTTCCAACATTGAACGTTGTACCTTTGAGATGTTTTGTACGAATCCGTTGCTAGCTTCATTGTTTCATTTCATAACAAAAATGCATTTATTTTACAACCTATGTATTAATCATTTGAATATACACAAAAACATTTTATAAAAAAGTAAATATTAAACATCAAAATCGTTACAAATTGCATACATACGTACTTATAAATTTGATGTGAGCAATTAAAGTAAGTAGTTGTACGCAAATTATGATGTAGATATTTAAACAAAAATTGATAGTAATATTTTCAACAATCATTATTATAAGGTGTGAAAGTTTTTAGCTTTAATACTTAACAGAAGACAAAATTGTGACTGAAAATAAAAGAGCTTCAGGGTGGGTTTGCTTGACCCTCTAATCCGTCAAGATGTCATCTGTTTCTAGGTTTCATCTTGAAATCATCACATTTGTTATTTTATATATCTTTAAAAAGTTTTTATTTAGATGTTTACCATTTTTACAATAATAGTATTGTTTGAATTTTTGCAGATTCAAACTTTTAGTTTAAAATCTCCCTTACGCCGTAAGTCTCTTACACTAATGTATAGTTCGTGTATTTAAATATTGCACGTTCTAGTCTGTGAGCACAATTCTTTCACGGATTGATAACCCCCAAATACAGGTCATGACTCATGAGTGTTTAAGGATAAAAAGATTTTAATTTTACTGCATAATATTTTTAACGCTATGATTATTTTATTGCATAACTTTAACACTTTACTTTAATACTTTTTTATGAAATGGCGACCATACAATGTAGGTATTTTAAGCCAAGTATGAATGGAGATGAGTGTAGGATGAGTGGCGCGATCTTGTAGTCTTGTTAGTGACTAAGGCCGACATTCCTTAGACACGGCTGTTAATTAATAGCCCAAACAGCTAATGGCAACTAAGGGACCTACAGTTTATAGT